GCGTGTATCCGCATATGCTCATCACCCTGACTGTTCTGCACAATGAGGTCACGCTCCACGTGCTGAAAAGCACGCCTGCTTGCTTTTCCTGATGGGTCTCTGGTCTTTCTTGCTCTTCTTCCTTTTTCTTGTGTTACTGCTTTGTCTAGGATCTCTAATGTGGAGCATCCTCTTGGGAGAGCCTATAACATTTCTGGAAGACCTTCTTTGCTGCACCCTATTCAGCCGTGGTTCACATTCCATGGTTTGCACCTTAAAAATGTTAATGGAAATTCCCAGATTCACTCCCCAAACTCGGTGGTTCTGGACTATACTCCCAGTGCTGGTTATTGTCACTCTTTGGCATCTTTGCATCTTTGGTGGGTGAAGACTGGATTGCAAGAGGGGAAACTGAGGCCCAGGGAGAGGCAGTGAGGTTGGCCAGGAAGGCATGAATTAGTCTCTTGGGTCTCTGAAGTCCTGCTACACTAATGGAGGTTCCCTTTTCCCCACCATCCCATATGCCCCCCCCAGACTCATGAATAAGCTGCAGCCAGGCTCAGTCCCTAAGATCAACCGCTCCATGCAAAACTGGCACCAGGTGAGGGACAGGGGGGTGGAATGAGGATGGGGCTGGGGGACCCCATCTGACGGGGGGGGGTAAGACCGAGGCCCCTCACTATCCTTTTCCTGCTTCCTCCCAGCTAGAAAACCTCTCCAACTTCATCAAGGCCATGGTCAGCTACGGCATGAACCCTGTGGACCTGTTCGAGGCCAACGACCTGTTTGAGAGTGGGAATCTAACACAGGTGCAGGTGTCTCTTCTTGCCCTGGCCGGGAAGGTGAGGCCCAGAGAGGGGCAGCAATCTGCTCAAAGTAACACAGCGAGCCAGGCGGGGATTTTCAGACGCTGTTCATTCATTCCTTCACAAAGATTTCTGAGCACCCACGAGGCGCCGGGCACTTTGGATCCAAGGGTGACCAAGGCAGACACAGTCAACCCCTTTATGGGCAGACAACGAACAAATCTCCACTTTTTTATTTACAAAAAATTTTATGTTAGAGCATTTTTAGGTTCACAACAAAACAGAGTGGAAGGTACAGAGACTTCCCGTCTACCCCCTGCCCCCACTCATGCACAGCCCCCCCTACTTTACATAATCAGTGAACCTCCGTGGGCATCTCCTTAACACCCAGAGTTCCCATTAGGGTTTGCTCTTCAAATCATTGTTTTACAAATTATAAATCGTGAGAAGTGCCTTGAAGGAGAAGAAAGCGTTAGGCCGATGTCTAGGGTCTAAAACAGAGACCAAGACGGGCTGGAACAATGTTTCAGGAGGAGGAGGTTTTCATGTTAGGGAATTGTGTTCTGAACGGTGCTTTCAGAAGCCCCCTGTGATTGCCACGTGGGTAGTGAGGTGGGGAGACCAGGGAGGAGTGGGGGACAGGCGTCCAGGGGAGAGACAATGGCCGTGGCCTGGCCGAGTGGCTGGGGCTCGGTAGAAGGAGGTGATGGAAGGTGAGAGAGATAGGAGGTGATGACGCCCCCTAAAATTCTTGGCCTGTGCAGCTGTAAGGCTGGGGCTGCCATTGCCTAGGGAGGGAAGGCTGGGGGCCACAGGGCTGCTGAGCCCGAGGTGTTGGGCTGCTGGTGTGGGGGGCAGGTTGCAGCCAGATACCTGGGCCTCCCCTGGGCTCACACACCCCGGGCCTGGCTGGGGGGACCCGGCTGCCCCTCCCTGATACTCCCACCCCCTCTTTCTCCCCAGGCCAAGACAAAGGGGATGCAGAGTGGCGTGGACATCGGCGTCAAATACTCGGAAAAGCAGGAGCGGAACTTTGATGATGCCACCATGAAGGCGGGCCAGTGTGTCATCGGGCTCCAGGTGGGTGCGCGGCTGCTCCAGCCCCAGGGTGCGTGGGTGGTGGGCTTGTGATGCGACCCAGGCCCTGTCCAGCCTGGTAGCCCCTCAAGTTCGGGGCAGGGTCTGGAGGCCTGGTGGGGGCAGCCTGACCTCTCCCACCTGCATCCCTGCAGATGGGCACCAACAAATGTGCCAGCCAGTCAGGCATGACGGCTTATGGCACCAGAAGGCATCTGTACGACCCCAAGAACCATATCCTGCCCCCCATGGACCACTCGACTATCAGCCTCCAGATGGGCACAAACAAGTGTGCCAGCCAGGTGGGCCTCCCCAGTCCCCCCGGGCCCCCACCCACCTTACCAAACCCTGAGGGCTCATCCCTGTTGCTGAGAGCATCTCCCGCCGAAACCCACTCTGGGTTTCCCTCCTACCCCTCTGGCCGTGCCTGCTCTGACTCTGCCTCAGCCTGCTGTGTGTCCCAGGGGAAGTTACCAGTTCTGTGCCTCAGTTTCCCTCAAAGTTTTGCCCAGAGGCCCATCCAGCTCTGATATTTTTAGACCCTGCAGTTGTCACTTTTCCTGCTATGTTGGTGTATCAGTGTGATGCCTTTGGAGCATTCAGGTCCTGGCAGGCCTGAGCCCCAGCCTGGGGAGCTTCCTGGCTGGCAGGGAGAGAGAGCTGGACCCAAACACCAGATCAACTCAGCACAGAGTCAGAAAAGAGAGGGTTCTGAGCAGGGCTTGGAAGGATCTGTAGGAGTTTGCACTGTGAGTGCAAAGACAGGGAGGTGGGAAAAGGTGTGAGAATTTAGGGGAAGTTCTCTGGGGCCTCTGTTTCCCCTTTTCTTCCCTCCCTGACGCCGCTTCTCTCTCTCCAGGTGGGCATGACGGCCCCAGGGACCCGGCGGCACATCTACGACACCAAGCTGGGGACGGACAAATGTGACAACTCTTCCATGTCCCTGCAGATGGGTTACACGCAGGGCGCCAATCAGAGCGGCCAGGTATTTGGCCTGGGCCGGCAGATATACGACCCCAAGTACTGCCCGCAAGGCCCAGCGGCCGATGGGGCTCCAGCGGCTGCCGGAGATGTCCCAGACCCGGGGGAGGCCCCAGGGTACCCCCCCTACTACCAGGAGGAGGCAGGCTACTGAGGCGCCCATGCGGGCTGTCTCCCATCATTGCCCCATCCGGGTTTTCGGGTTTTTCTGTGTTTTTGTCTTGTTTTTCTTACATGTCTGAGTGCTGCCAGCTGAAGGTCTGGGGAGAAGAGGTGAAGGCCATATCCAGATGCATGTGGGGTGGGGGTCCCCGCCAGGGCACCTCCAGGCATGTTTCCTAACAGGCTTTGGGCCAAGTTGCAGGGGAGAAAGACGAAACCCGGGCAGGGAGGGGGACCAACCCCAAGTGGTTTCCGGTTGCTTCTTCCCTTCTTCTCTTTTCTCTGCCGATCAGTTTGTGGTTTCTGTACCCACAGAAGTTTCAGGCCGTTTTAGTGAAATGAAAATACTTTTTTTTTTCAGGGGAATGGTAGGGGGATGGTGGAGGGGGCTACTGGGAGAAGGTCAGGCCACAGTCCCAAAATATTGTAGGCCTCGTGAGGTACTGGATTTCCCTAGAACCCTCAGACCACCGGCCCTGTCCCTTGCCAGGGGCCCAGTTGGGATACTGAGGCCCAGGCAGGATAGTGCAGTTCTGAGTGGTTGAGGCAAAGCCAGAAACCCCCATACTTGTCCCCACACCCCACCAAATACTGCACAGGGACCCCCACCCAGAGGCCCTCCCGGGGACCAGCCCCTGCCCAGGAGCCCTGGGACCAAGAAATAATGTGAAATACCGACTGTGGACCAAAGGAAATAAAACCTCTTTTTCGGAAATGAAGGTGCTGGAGTTGGTGCCCCAGACAGCCTGGGGGGCGGTGCCTGGCTTGGATACCTTCTGGGGTCCTGGGATCTGGGGGTGGGGGGGACCTGGGGGTGGGGCAAAGGGCAAACCTGTAAGTAGGTCCTCAGGACGGTGGCTTCATCCAGCCTCCAGGCCTTTGTGCATTTACTCGTCCCGGAGTACCCTCCTGGCAAACTCCTATTCATCCTTAAAGCCCCAGTGCCAACAACAACACTCTCCTTTCTTTTTTTAAATTTATTATTATTATTTTTTGTGGTACGCGGGCCTCTCACTGTTGTGGTCTCTCCTGTTGCGGAGCACAGGCTCGGGATGCGCAGGCTCAGCGGCCATGGCTCACGGGCCCAGCCGCTCCGCGGCATGTGGGATCTTCCCGGACCGGGGCACGAACCCGTGTTCCCTGCATCGGCAGGCGGACTCTCAACCACTGCGCCACCAGGGAAGCCCCCAAACTCTCCTTTCATGGAGCCCTTCCCACCCTTCTCACCTTTCCCAGCACCTCCAGAGCTGTGGATCCACACACTTGTTTCATTAGGACCTTGTGAAATATACCCAATTTTCTGGAGAGGGAAACATCTGGAGGTTTCTTCCAAATCAGGGTCACCATCGTGACCCAAGATTCTAATCTTAGGATGTTGAGGGCCCCCTCCCCCTTCTGCCATCGCCTGGCCCACTGTAAGGACCGAGGAATGTTTGTGGAATGAATGAATGAACAAATGATGACTCTAGTCGAACCCCCATTTTCTGGATGGGCAAATAGAGTCCCAGAGTATTAGGGCGAGTTTGGCTAGGGCTGGAGGGAGAGTGGGGAGAAAGGGACCTCCTGAGACCAGGAGCTGCGGTATTGCAGGCGGCTATGCAACGTGGGCCTGGCCGGTGTGTTCGGAGGCCAACCCGCGTGGGGTGAGCCGGGCGCCCCTCCTTGGGGTGCTGCAGCAAGAGGCGAGCGATCCCTTTAAGAAACCCGGCTCGGCGCGGCCCGGCTGTGACCCCGCCTCCCCCGTCGGCGCGCGCGGCTCCGGTTGGCCCGGCCTCTGAGTGGCGGCTATGGAAGCCAATGGGAGCGGATGGGGCGGGGCCTGGCCGGGACGCGGGACGCCAGGTACAGGTCGCTGCCGCGGTGCCGCGCCCGCTGCGAGGTCTTCTCTTTTTTTTTTTTTTGTGGTACGCGGGCCTCTCACTGTTGTGGCCTCTCCCGTTGCGGAGCACAGGCTCCGGACGCGCAGGCTCAGCGTCCATGGCTCACGGGCCCAGCCGCTCCGCAGCATGTGGGATCTTCCCGGACCGGGGCACGAACCCGAGTCTCCTGAATCGGCAGGCGGACTCTCAACCACTGCGCCACCAAGGAAGCCCCGAGGGCTCCTCTTAAAGGAGCCGCTCTCCCCAGCCGCTGTCGGGCGGAGGGAAGGAGGAAAGAGTTGGGGGCTGGAACGGTGGGAGTGTCCCGGAGAGAGAGGAAGGCCCTGAGACTCGAGGATGCAGGGGTGCGGATGGGTGGGAAGGAGGCAGATTCCGTGGGAAATCAGGGGTGAGGCCCGACTCCAGACTGTTACTCACCCTCACACCCTGCCGGGGAGTGTTGGGTGCGGCAGAATTGATCACTAAGTCTCCACGGGGAGGTATGAGCATCAGACTCACCAACCTACACCTGCAGCCCCTCTCCCCATTAGTACGCCGCTAAGCTCTCTGCCCCGTTTTACCAATACAGAAACAGAGGCTGTTCCCCGCAGGTCCCACTTGTAAAGGAGAGTCCTGGAGTGAGAGTCAGGGGTCCTGGGTCCACTCCCTGCCCCTCTGGCGGCCTCAGTTTCCCCATCTGTACAATGATGAAGTAGGCCAGGCTGGACAGTTCCAAGCAAGAACAGGATCAGGAATCGCTGGTTCCAGGCGCCGCCCCTGCTCTTTACTCATTTTCTGGATCTTGTGGGTCTTCTGAGCTGAAGAATACTACGTGAGGGGAGGGCAGATCTGGGGCCCTGCCTCCAGCTGGGTAACTTGCCTGTCTCTCTGGGGGCCTGGGGTGGCCCCTCTTCCAGCCAGTCGTGTAAAATACTCGTTGCTATTATCATTGGAGAAGAGCGCGGGGTGGGGTGGGGTGGGGGAAGGGAATCCTTCCCCGGGTTAGGGATGAGGCTGGGGGACGGGACCTGGAGGCCCCACCAGTAGGGCTTAGGGTGGAGCCTGGTGAGGAGAGAGTTAAGCCTAGGCTCCACCACCTGCAGGATTAATTGATCGCCTTTGGGCCCCCAGCTGCAGCCCTGGGCCCCTCAACCAATGAGATGCGAGGATGGATTCGGGCAGGGCTCCCATTGGCTTACTCCGCCCCTCTGGGGAGACAGGAGCCCCTTTAATTAGCGTGGACTGTTTGCTGGGCTCTAAGCAGAGCTTCCAGGAATAGAAGAGCGATAGAGAGATGATGAGGTTCAGAGAGGAACGGGGAGTTGCCCGCAGCCGCACAGTACGTCTTCAGCCTGGCCCCTCAGTCCTGTCTCCCGTCCATTCCCACCATGGCCTCCTGGACGCAGCTGATGCTGCTGCTTTGGAAGAATTTCCTGTACCGCAGGAGGCAGCCGGTAATGTCTGGTCGGGTGGGCCAGGGAGGGGCGGCCCGGGCGCCCCCCACGGTTCCCCACTCCCCCCCGCCCGTTCTGCCCCCGCCGTTTCAGCTCTTGGTGGAGCTGATGTGGCCGCACGCCATTCCCACCCCCAACTTGGGCAGCATGAATGTAAGCCTCCCAACGTCCAGCACTTTGGGGTTAGGGTTAGCAGTGGTCACCCCGTGCACAGGGGCCCCAGGGAGAGTCCGGAGCACAGGCCGGGCACCCGAATCATGGCTGAGAGGGGGCACTCTGTCGCCGGGGCTGTCATCACGCTGGGGACTCAGACGAGAAGCCCACGTCCGGCGTCCCCGCAGGCCATTTCCCCAACAAGCCGCTGCCGTCAGCGGGTACCGTCCCTGGACTCTAGGGCCTCATCTGCAACATGAGCAACACCTGTTTCCCACGGCCCATGCTCACCGAGGAGCCTGGCGTCCTCAGCACCTTCAGGACTCCCTGTAAGCCAGCGGCAGCGGGGGCGGCCGGGTGTGTGTGGGTGGAGGGCCGCCCAGCCACCGCCTCCCGCCCTCTCTCTGTCCCCAGGGTCTCCCGGCTCCTGGCAGATGCCCACACTGTCCTGGGGGCCCCCAGGGCCCACAGGATGCTGGCTAGCCTGAGGCAGCTGATGCCTACGCTGAGGGCTGCACGTGGAGCAGGTGAGAAGGCAGGGCCCATGGCAGGCAGGGCGGGGCCGGGCTCTGAGCACGGGCCTGCCTCCACTTGCTGGGCTGTGAAGCACGGGATGGGGCGTGTCTCGGTTTAAGCTTTGCCTAACCCTGGGCTTCTGTGCTTTACTCCCTCAGCCTGGGCTCAGCTGAGTGCCTAGCCCAAGGAGGGACCGTCCCTGGCCACGGAGCTGCTGGGGACACTGATGCAAGGGGTGAGGTGGGGCAGGGCAAGGCCAGCTGGAGCCCTGGACGCTGTTCTCGTGGAGTCCCGCCCTGCCCCTCGTGAGCCAGCCTCCAGGCCTTTGCCTGGGCCCTCCTTGGTGCCTGGGAGGGCCTGAGATACTCCAGCCCTGAGACCTTGAACAAGCCCATTTGCCTCTAGCAGCCTCAGTTTCCCTGTTTGTAAAATGGGGCCTATGATAGTATGGACCCCCTGGGAACTTGGCAAGGTACTGGACCCCTGGTGAGACAGCAGTGAACGTCGTTGTCACCTTGTCATCTTTCTCCCCAGGAATCCCTGGCGTTTGTGCTGGGCCAGGCCCAGGATTCCTTAGACAGCCTTGTGGAAGCAGCAGAAGACCTGGCCCAGGAGGTAAGAGGCCCGCGCAGCCTCTACCCCAGCCAGGAAATTGGGTGGGCTGCCTGGAAGGGGAGGTGACAGGGCAGCCCCAGGCACCTATCTTTGGTAGGTTTTGGGGGGCACTTGGGCAGAAAGAGAGGGAGAGGGTGCTCCTGGCGGAGTCCCCTGCCCTGGTTAAGGCTTGGCGGTAGGACCACGTGGAAGGGAAGCCTGCCCGGGCCCTCTGGTGACCCGTCTCCAGCTCCTGGTGCCACCTGGCCTGGTGGAGCTGTGGGCACTGCTGTGGAGACCCCAAGGGCCAGGTGGCCCCCTGGAGGCGGTGGCAGAAGCCCTGTGCAGTGCCGGGGGCCCAGCAAGCCGGTATGAGGCCAGTGACCTGAAGGAGCTGGTGTGGCAGGAGCGGCACGGGCCCTGCCACACCACAGCCTGAGTGGCTGAGCTGGCTTCCCAGCCGGGGAGGTGGGGCCAGGATGTGGGCGGGCGCAGGGCCTCATGGTGCACCCCTCGGCGCTAGGCTCCACCCGCACTGAGCTGGTGGGGGCCCTGGACGCCCACCCCCTGTCCCACCGGCTCTGGAGGCGCCTGAAGCCGCTGGTCCTGGGGAAAGTAGTGTTCAGCTCACGGCCCAGGTGACGGTGGGAGGGGTCCCACGTCCCGGCCTCAGATCAGGGCGGGGAGGGCCAGGCCAGAGGGAGGGCCCTGACCAGGAGACGGGCGGCCCCTGGGCTGGGTCCGGGAAGCGGGGTCTAGAAGGGGTAAGAGTTTGCCAGGTTACAGACAGCGCTCAGAGGCACAGGATGGAGCAGAGGGGGGGAAGCAGGAGGGGTGGGCAGGGGTCCTCAGAGGAGGGGAAGGGTCGTGAACAGGCAAGGCCGGCATAGACCTCGGCGCCCGCCTCCTGCAGGTGAACCAAACCTTCCAGGGGCTGGCGCTGTTCAAGGGCATCCAGGAGGTGTGGGAGCTGCTGGGCGCCCCGCTCTTGAACTTCGCGAACGACAGCGCCGGCGTCGCACGGCTGCAGGTGGGGCCAGGACGCCGGGCAGCAGAGTCATGCCCTGCTGAGGATTTGAGCAAAAGGGCAGGGCCTTCTGGGCAAGGGTGTGGAGCTGGGAAGTGGTATCCACGGTGAGCTCCGGCCGCAGGGATGGGAAGAGGGGTGACAGGCCCTGAATGCCCGAAACAGACTCCCACCTTCCCCGACACCCCCCAGAGGCTCCTGCAGGTCACAGGAAGAAGGCAGCCAGGAGCTGGAGGCCAGGACCGGGGAGAGGCTCTTCGTGCCTTTCTGAACCCCCGAAGTGGTGGCTGCAGCTGGCATGAGGCCCATGCTGATATGGGACACCTGGTGGGCACACTGGGCCGTGATGGAGGTGAGGGGCCGCCCACCTGGGGAAATCTCTCTGAGGGGAGGGGCAGCCCTGCTGTGGGACTCCTAGGAGGAAACGCGGCTCCACCCTCAGGTCCAGAGGACGACCCTGGGACCTCGGACCCACGCCCAAGCCCCTCCCAGTGCGTGACTCTGGACGAGCTGGAGGCTGCGCCCTCAGAGGCTGCCCTGGTGGAGCGGGCCCTGGAGCTGCTCTCCGAGCCCGAGGACTTCCCGGACTCTTCGCAGTCCCCAGGCCCTGGCCATGTGCGCATCAAGATCCGCATGGACATCGATGACGTCACAAGAGCCAATAAGATCAGGGACAGGTGGGGGGCCTTGTGGGGCGGGGCCGAGGGAATGGGGATGCCAGGGAGCATCCCACCTACCGTAGACCTTGGTAGGTGGAGCCCAAGACTCCTTAGACCAACTGGGGCCTGCGGTAGGCGGAGCCTATGGTGTGAGGGGCGCGGCCAAGGGCTTGGCAGACGCGGGCTCAACCCTCGGCTTCTGGGATAAGATTAGAGCGCTTGGGGCTCCCCTGATGGCGCAGTGGTTGAGAGTCCGCCTGCCGATGCAGGGGAGACGGGTTCGTGCCCCGGTCCGGTAAGATCCCACATGCCGCGGAGCTGCTGGGCCCGTGAGCCATGGCTGCTGATCCTGCTGTGCAACGGGAGAAGCCACAACAGTGAGAGGCCCACGTACAGAAAAAAAAAAAAAAAAAAAAAAGAGCGCTTGGCAGGTGGGGCTACGTGCATAATTGAGGAGGCAGGTGAGGGCGGAACTAAAGTTGTGATGGGCAGGTCCCAGCCACTCCCATACTCGCCTCAGATTTTGGGACCCCGGTGCGGCTTCGTGTACCTGCTACGTGGACGACGCGTGAGCGCCCCCTCCTCACTCATTCACTCAGATGCCAGATCCCGGGTCTCAGGGTGCGGCCAGGGTTCCGTTTGGAATATTCACGCAGTCAAGGCTGAGAACTACAGTTTAGAGGGACCACTCTCCGTGACTTGTAGCGGGAGGAGGAGGGATTCCTGAGGGTCGGGGGTCTCCGGGAGCTGGGAGAACGTGGCCTAACAGCCAGAACCCTGAGGCGCCATCAAGGGTCTGATGATAAGAGAGGACAAATGTCCCCGCTGGCCTCACCTTGGGATCCCAGTGCGCGCACCCTCGTGCCAGATGGGGGCAGCGCGGCGTCTCCGGCCTCCACCCCAGCTGCCCACTGCCCCAGGTTCCTGCGCGTGCTGAGCCGGTCACTGCCGCTCTTCCTGATGCTGGCCTGGATCTATTCGGTGGCGCTGACCGTGAAGGCTGTGGTGCGTGAGAAGGAGACGAGGCTGTGCTGCACGATGTGCGCCATGGGGCTCAGTGGCGCCGTGCTTTGGCTGGGCTGGTTCCTCAGCTGTCTCGGGCCCTTCCTTCTCAGCACCGCGTTGCTCGTGCTGGTGCTCAAGGTGGGCGCACCCCGGCCTTCCCGGCTCCAGAATGGGTGCGCGTGTACGCGGGAGGGTAACAGGCAGGGGGCGCCTCGCAGGGTTGCGCGTCCCGGGGCGAATCCGTGCGCTCCCTCCAGCTGCCTTTGCCTCCCTGCAGTCGGGGACATCCTCCCCTACAGCCACGCGGTGGTGCCCTTCCCGTCCTTGGCGGCTTTCAAGGTGGCCACGGTGGTCCAGAGCTTCTTTCTGAGCGCCTGCTTCTCCCGAGCCAACCTGGCAGCCGCCTGCGGGGGCCTCGCCTACTTCGTGCTCTATCTGCCCTACGTGCTGTGCGTGGCCTGGCGGGACCAACTGCCCGTGGGCGGCCGTGTGGCCGCGGTGAGAGCCGGGTCGGGTGGGGTGCGGGGGTGCAAGGCACCCTTAGCTGCCCTTGCTTTCCACCCACCTACCTACCTGCCCTAACCCGCAGAGCCTTCTGTTGCCCGTGGCCTTCGGCTTCGGCTGCGAGAGCCTGGCACTGCTGGAGGAGCAGGGCGAGGGCGCGCAGTGGCACAACGTGGGCACTGGGCCTATAGCCGATGTCTTCAGCCTGGCCCAGGTCTCGGGTCTTCTGCTGCTCGACGCTGCGCTCTACGGCCTCGCCACTTGGTACCTGGAGGCTGTGTGCCCAGGTGGGCCGTAAGAGGTGCACAGGCGCCAGGGAGGCTGGGCTGAGGGGCGGGGCCCAGGATGGGGCGGGGCTTAGGGGTCTGGAAGCCGGAGGTGAGAGGGTGGGGATTCCTGGCACCTGAGCACATGCGCACAGGTGGCTGCGTTTGAGGGATGGTCTGGGGCGGGTGGGCGGGGCTTCCTGATTACTTCCTACCTGGATGCCCTAATCCCAGGGGTATGGCCAGCAGCCGGCACACACCAGGGGAATGGGTTCAAGCGGTAACTGAGTACCACTCCCCACAGGCGAGTACGGGATCCCCGAACCGTGGAACGTTCCCTTCGGAGGAGCTACTGGTTTGGGCCTCAGACCTCCAAGTGCCCAGCCCCCTGCCCCACAGGACCCCAAGGGTGAGGCCCGACAGACCTTAGCAGCCACTTCCCTGTCTGGATTCCCAGGCCCCCCCAAAGCCCAGGTTCCCGCGGATTCCAATCCTCTGGACACCCCTAGTTCTCCAGGCCCCCTGAGGCTCCCCTAACTCCTACAGAACCCTGCCCCACAAGTCCCCGACTCCACAAACCAGCTTGAACAGCCCCCAGGACCCCGGGGGCTCCCATGGCTGAGTCTGCCCTCCTTCCCCAATGCTGGTGGAAGAGGCACCCCCTGGCCTGATTCCAGGAGTCTCCATACGGAGCCTGGAAAAGCGCTTTCCTGGTAACCCACAGCCGGCCCTGCACGGGCTCAGCCTGGACTTCTACCAGGGCCTCATCACCGCCTTCCTGGGCCACAATGGGGCTGGCAAGACGACCACTCTGTGAGCAGCCGTCGCTCCCCTCCCCCCCAGTTCCTCTCTCCCCGCCCCCCAGGGCCTCAGCTTGCACACCTGTTCAAGGGGAAGGACATCTGGGGTCAGAAGGTCCCTGTCTGTACAGTGAGGGCAGGACACCCCCCTCCCCAGTTCACTTTGGGTCCCCCCTGCAAGTTCACTTTGGATACACAATAGGTAGGCGATAAGTATATTCTCTGAGCCTCACTTTCCCTCCCCTGTAAAATGGGAACATAATACTCCTTCGGTCTGGGCATACAGTAGGTGCCCTATATGTGCTGGTGCCTCTTCTCTGGGAACCTCAGTTTCCCCCTCTGAAGGAGCAGCTGCTCTGCGATCCCTGCACCCCCAGGTCCATCCTAACCGGCCTCTTCCCACCCACTGCTGGCTCCGCCTGTGTCCTGGGCCACGATGTCCGATCCAACATGGCAGCCATCCGGCCCCACCTGGGAGTCTGCCCACAGTACAGTGTGCTGTTTGACATGTGCGTCTCAGTGGGCCTGGGGCATGGCAATGGGGGGCTGGGTGCTCTCTGGGCCCCTGCCCACCATGGTAGCCACCCTGTCTTTTGCCCATGGCCACAGGCTGACCGTGGATGAGCACGTCTGGTTCTATGGGCGGTTAAAGAGTCTGAGTGCAGCTGCCGTGGGCCCCGAGCAGGACCGTCTGATGCAGGATGTGGGACTGGTCTCCAAGCGGCATGCACAGACTTGCCACCTCTCTGGGGAGGAGCCTTTGGGTCTGCAGAGATGAGGATGGGGAGGGGGCTAGGGCTTTATCCTGAGGATGGGGGGATGTCAGAGGAGACAGGAACTGAGGTCCAGGTGGGTAGGGAGAGGCGCAGGAAGAAGGGAGGTAGCCCTGCCCAAGCCTGTGGGTCCTGTTGAGATCCCAACCCCTGTCCCAACCCAGGTGGGATTCAGTGGAAGCTTTCAGTGGCCATTGCCTTTGTGGGTGGCTCCCAAGTCGTTATCTTGGATGAGCCCACAGCTGGTGTGGACCCTGCTTCCCGTCGAGGCATTCGGGAGCTGCTGCTCAAATACCAGGATGGTAAGAATTGAGGGTGGCCTGAGGTTCCCCTGGATTCTGCTTGAGAGACCAGAAGATGTTTCTGACAAAGAGGTGTTGGGGGATGGGGTTTTGAGGGATGAGTAGGAGTTCACTGCATGGGGCAGAGACCACAGCTTCGGCAGCCTGATGGCATGAGTGGGTTGGGTCCCATGCCCAGATCGCACATTGATCCTCTCCACCCACCACCTGGATGAGGCAGAGCTGTTGGGAGATCGTGTGGCAGTGGTGGCGGGCGGCTGCTTGTGCTGCTGTGGCTCCCCGCTCTTCCTGTGGTGTCATTTGGTCTCCAGATACTACCTGACACTGGTGAAGTGTCCCCCAGCCCTGGCCACCAGCAAAAAGGTGAGGGCTGGGCTTCCCTGGTGGCGCAGTGGTGGAGAGTCCGCCTGCCGATGCAGGGGACACGGGTTCGTGCCCCGGTCTGGGAAGATCCCACATGCCGCGGAGCGGCTGGGCCCGTGAGCCATGGCCGCTGAGCCTGCGCGTCCGGAGCCTGTGCTCCACAACGGGAGAGGCCACAGCGGTGAGAGGCCCGCGTACCGCAAAAAAAAAAAAAAGTGAGGGCTGGAGCTGACCTCCATCCACTGTCTCTCAAGGCTCTGGCCAGCCCTGCCCGCAGGGTGACACTGACTTGAAGGACAACATGGATCCTGGGCAGGAAAGGGAGCCAGGCAGCCAGGCCAGCACTGCCGGTGAGGGCCGGGGTGGGAGAGCCAGAGTGAGGGGCTGTTGGGTGACAGTGGCTTGGTTCAGGGCAACAGGGCTTCACAACCCCGGGCTTGACTCCTGACACCAGGCTGAGCCGACACATGGACCTACTCCTGGACTCTGACCCTGGGTGGACTCTGGCTCTGACCCCGGGTCAAGTCCTGCCCTTGGGTACCTAATCCTGACGTCCTCTGCCCTCAGGGACAGGTCCCTCATGGGTCACCCAAGCCCCTTCTCCAGGGGGGCAGGGATGGGGGGGCGGGGCAGGAGCCACGGCTGCCCACGCCTCCAGGGCCCCTGACATGCTCAGCTGCTGGCCCTGGTGCAGAGCCACGTGCCCGGGGCACGGATGGTCAAAGAGCTGCCACACGAGCTGGTGCTGGTGCTGCCCTACCAGGGCGCCCCGGACAGTAGCTTCGCTGAGCTCTTCTGCGAGCTGGACCAGCGGTTGGGGAAGCTGGGACTGGCCGGCTTCGGGATCTCCGACACCAGCCTGGAGGAGGTGTGGCTCCTGGGGGAGGTGTGGGGGTGCCGGGAGGAGGGCTGCCTGGAGGAGGTGGTGCTTGGAAGGATGAAGAGGAAGACGTCTGCCTATTGACAGCTGGGTGTCCCAGGGTGGAGTCGGCACACACAGAAGCCTGGAGACTCAGGGGCCCTCCGGGAGGCCTGGGGACCCCCAGTGTATGAGGGGTGGTGGCTCCCAAGTCCCCCTCCCTCCCCTGTGTCCCCAGGCTCTGAGCGCCCTGCTTCGTCTCCCCAGATCTTCCTGAAGGTGGTGGAGGACTGTGCTGTGGACACAGGCCCAGGGGGTGCGGCCGCAGGTCTCTGTCTTGATCCCTCAACCTGGTCCAGAGTTAGACCTGACTTTAGACCAAGTCCCCATCCCTGGCTGACGTGGCCCAAGGCATAGCCCTGACCTCCACCCCTGATTCCTGACCCCTCCACTGTGAACCTTGACGTTAGCCCAGACCCCAGGCTGAACACTAACCCTGACCCTGAACCTGACCCCAACACTGGTAACTCCACAGATGGTAGGCCCAGGCAGCACCCGTGCTCAGGCATTGCTCATCTGGACGCGACTGCAAGGCTGCAGATTCTGCTAGAGGAATCAGCCCTGGAGAATGGGGGGCTGGGTGAGTTGTCCCCACCCGGCCCTGTGGCCCCTCCTGGTCCCCGGGGCATGAGCACTGACCCTCCTATCCCTCACAGCGGGCTCTGCCCCCGAGACACAGGCCTTGCAGAGCTCTGGGCCAGACGCCGCAGGCTGTGTACATGGCTGGGTGCTGGCCCACCAGCAGCTCCGGGCCTTGCTTCTCAAGCGCTTCCTGCTTGCCTGCTGCAGCCGCTGTGGCCTGTTCGCACAGGTGAGGGGGGCTAGGCACGAGGGAGGGCGTGTGGGGGACCCTGAGTGCCTGTTCTCAACTCTGTGACCTAATTCAACAGCCTAATCCCAGGTGTATCCCCTACTCTGAACACTTTTTGAGAGCACTGGGGAGCCATGGATGGTTCTAGAGCGGGATCAGGGAAGGGTGCAGGCAAGCTTGGAGGGCAGACCAGGAGGGCAGCTGATGGGCTGGTCCTTCAGATTGTGCTGCCTGCCCTCTTCGTGGGCTGGGCACTGGTGTTCAGCCTCATCATGCCTCCTTTCGGATACTACCCAGCTCTGCAGCTCAGTCCCAGCATGTATGGCTCCCAAGTGTCCTTCTTCAGGTGAGTGCAGAGGAGAGGGGCCTGGTGGTGGGAGCGCCAGGAGCCTGTGGGTACAGCCCTGACTTGCGCCCCCTTTGCGCAGCGAGGATGCCCCAGGGGACCCTGAATGTGCCCCGCCTGCTCGAGGTGCTGCTGGAAGAGGCCGGATTGGAGGAGGCTTACCTGAAAAATAACTCCAACAGGTGAGGGCCCGCCAGCCTGGACCTTTCTCCTCTCTGGTCTCAGTTTCCCTATCTGGGCTCTGGCCAGTGGGCCTCAGGTGCCTCGGGTATCCCCCATGCCTGCTTGGGAGCTGGGCGCCCCCACATTCCAGGAACCCTGGAAGCCGGGTGCCCCAGCCCTGCACCCACCCCCGCAGGGCACCTGAGTGCACACAGCCTGCCGTCTGCCAGTTCTCGGTGCCCGAGGTTCCTGCAGATGTGGCTAAGGTCCTGGCCAGCGGCAACTGGACTCCGGAGTCTCCGTCCCCTGCCTGCCAGTGCAGCCAGCCTGGTGCCCACCGCCTGCTGCCCAACTGCCCTGCTGTGGCCGGCTGCCCCCCGCCTCCCCAGGCACCGACCAGCTCGGGCAAGGTGGTCCAGGACCTAACAGGCCGGAAACTGTCTGACTTCCTGGTCAAGACCTACCCACGCCTGGTGCGCCAAGGGTGAGCACTGCCCTGGACTTGGCGTGCCCGGCTGTAGCAGGGTCCTCAGGTGGAGGAAGTGTTCTGTTCCTGGGGGAGGTTGGGGAGAGGGTGATGTCCAGCCTGGGGTTCCCAGCTGGGGCTTCCTAGGAGCCTTCCATACCTCATCGTTTCTATTTATCTCACCCAACTCAACTCCCCAGAATCTCTCTGTCTCTGTCTCACTCATCTTTGTGTCTGTGTGTTTGTCTCTATCACAGCCTGAAGACCAAGAAGTGGGTGAACGAGGTCAGGTGAGGAGTGTCCTCTGCCTGGGCTCCATTCCTGTGCCCTCTGCCTGCCTGCTGGGAGACCTGCCACCCCATCCTCCCCGACCCTCAGCTGCCCCTCCTCCACTGCCTCACAGGTATGGGGGCTTCTCCCTGGGGGGCCGAGACCCGGGCCTGCCCTCGGGGCTTGAGGTGGGCCGCTCTGTGGAGGAGCTGCGGGCACTGCTGAACCCCCAACTGGGAGGGGCCCTCGACCACATCCTGAACAACCTCACAGCATGGGCTCTTGGTCTGGACATTCAGGATGGCTTCAAGGTGGGAACTGGGAGTGGTGGGCTGGCGCTGCTGGGCGTAGGTCTGACCCCCGCACGCTGACCCCTTGGCCCTGACCCTACCACAGATCTGGTTCAACAACAAGGGCTGGCATGCCGTGGTGGCCTTTGTCAACCGAGCCAACAACGCTCTCCTACTTGCCCGCCTGCCGCTAAGCCCCGCCCACCGTGCCCACAGCATCACCACGCTCAATCACCCCCTGAACCTCATCAAGGAGCAGCTGTCTGAGGCCACGCTGTGAGTCCCCCAGCTCTGTGTATCCCCCCAGCATCAGTTGGTTTCTCTGTTGTTTGGGGCGATGGGAGTTGGATTTACGCTCTGCTACGCTCTTGCTGTGTAAATGGGGAACAGGAACTGCTCCTCTCCACTCCCTAGGCCAGGGTAATGGGACATCATCAGGCTCCATGGGCTCCAGTCTCCCCCAGCTGCCTGCACATTCTCGTCACATCAACTTTTATTCTACTAGAGACCTGGAAAACCTCTCCCTGCCTAATGACCCGAAATGGCTCAAGCCATCTCCCCCATCCATACCCAGCCCTGAGGACCTCTGTCCCATCAGTGGTGTGCACAGTTCCCCTCTGAACATCTCACGTACCCTCGCCCCCAGAATGGCCTCCTCAGTGGACGTGCTTGTCTCCATCTGTGTGGTCTTCACCATGTCCTTTGTCTCGGCCAGCTTCACCCTTGAACTTTCTCTGGGACATGGTGCGGGGACTGCCTGGAGGGGTGGGGGCCCCGCCACCACTTGCCACTGTCCCTTCTGGCCCTTTCTGGGCAGGGACTTGTCTAGGATGGCCCAAGTAAAGTCTTGGGGATTGTGGGAGACCTCATGTCCTGCTACCCAAAGCACAGGGAGGAGGTCAGGGTGGGGCACAGTGCCGAGGGTGCCAGTTCCCACCCCTGCACACCGAGGGGGGAAACTGCCACCTCCGATGCAGTGTAACTACTTGGTGCCAGTGTCCATCGTGGTGCTCATCTTTCTGGCCTTCCAGCAGAGGGCGTACGTGGCCTCTGCCAACCTGCCTGCCCTCCTGTTGTTGCTACTACTGTATGAGTGAGGCCCCTAGCCCTTCAGGGCTTGTTCTTACTGACTCCCCCCAACACTGTTGAGGGAGATGGGGCTCTGTAGCAGCTCCTAAGGAGAGGGTATGGAGCTCTGAAGTGACCCCAAGTGTGATCTAATTCAGTGGTGTGCCGAGGTGGCCTTAAAAGCTCATCTTGGCTTGATCCGTGTTATAAGGGCCTAAAACACAGAAGTAGGAAGGGAGATCTGTATTACTTTTAGGGCTGCTCAGCCCCTGTCTGGCAGTAACAGTGGCTCCTGTTACCCCTCAGCTGGTCCATCACACCGCTCACGTACCCACCCTCCTCCTTCTTCTCCATGCCCAGCATGGCCTACATGGTGCTCACCTGCATCAACCTCTTTATCGGCATCAACGGCAGCATGGCCACCTTTGTGCTCGAGCTCTTCTCTGATCAGGTGGGACCCGACAAGGTTGGGCCTCGGGCTGGGGTTGGACTGGGCATCGGCCTTGGCCCCTTACCCACCTCCTTCTTCCTGCCCCTGAGTAGAAGTTACAGGAGGTGAGCTGGATCCTGAAGTGGGTCTTCCTTATCTTTCCTCACTTCTGCCTGGGCTGGGCGCTCATTGACATGGTGAGGAACCAGGCCATGGCTGACGCTTTTGAGCGCTTGGGAGAGAACTTCCCTCCAGGTGGGGAAGTGCCAGATGAGAGTCAATTCTATAGGGTAGGGACAAACAGTAGCCCCCAGGAAGAGACCTGGAGGTCTTAGGTGGCCCCCAAGGGCTTGAAGGCCAAGTTAGACGTACAGCAAAGCAGCCATAAAAATCTAATTCCATTTGGTCACATCGTAAAAGGTCTAAGGCACTAAATAAGGGAGGTGGTGATACCGCTGTTTTCTTTTTCTTTTCTTTTTTTCTTATATATATGTTTTAATAGATTAATTTAATTTATTTATTGGCTGCGTTGGGTCTTCAGTGCTGCGCGAGGGGTTTCTCTAGTTGCGGCGAGCGGGGGCTACTCTTCGTTGCAGTGTGCGGGCTTCTCACTGTGGTGGCTTCTCTTGTTGCGGAGCACGGGCTGTAGATGCACGGGCTCAGCCGTTGTGACTCACGAGCTCCAGAGCGCAGGCTCAGTAGTTGTGGCACATGGGCCTCATTGCTCTGCGGCATGTGGGATCTTCCCGGACTAGGGCTCGAACCCATGTCGTCTGCATTGGCAGGTGGATTCTTAATCACTGCGGCACCAGGGAAGCCCCGATGCTGCTGTTTTCCATGCCAATTAGACCCCAGTTGAGTGGCCTATTCAGCTTGGTCCTTTCCGTTAAGAACCCAGGGTGACCTGAATGGGGAGAGGCCCAGAAACCAAACCCCTAAAATGACCCAATCCCTCCTTCATGTCCTCACAGGAGATGGGCAGTTCCAGTCACCCCTGCGCTGGGAGGTTGTCAGCAAGAACCTTTTGGCCATGTTGATACAGGGGCCCATCTTCCTCCTCTTTACACTCCTGCTGCAGCACCACAACTGCCTCCTGCCACAGTCAGTGGGGACCACGGAGGGTGGTAGGGGCTGGGATCTGGCTTTGGGCCCACTCATGTCTCTGCCCTCAGACCCAAGCTGAGGCTGCTGCCTGCCCTGGGAGAGGAGGATGAGGATGTGGCCCGTGAGCGGGGGCGGGTGGTACAAGGAGCCACCGAGAGGGACGTGTTGGTGCTGAGGGACCTGACCAAGGTGGGTGCAGAGTGCTGGGTTGGGTGGCTCCCACTGGCCCACCCACCTTTCTCACGGACCTGCATCCCTCCCAGGTGTGCCCTGGGCAGAGGACACTGGCTGTCGACCTCCTGTGTCTTGGGATCTCCCCTGGTGAGGTAAGTCCAGGGTGGAGGTCCTGGTGCAGGGGTGAGAGGCTGCCCTACTGTGCACCCAGTGCTCTGTACTGTTTGTGCCTACCTCCTTCTACTGAACACCTACTGTGAGCCTGTTTCCCTTTATTGAGCACCTACTGTGCACTTTTATTGAGTACCTACTGCCTGCCAATATCTGAAGTCCTATTTTGAGCCAGCGAATCTCATTAAGCACCTACTGCATGCTTACATTTATTGATCCCTACTGTGTGCAATAAGGTATGAATAAGATCCTAGTGAGGACGGATTTATTATTGAGCATCTATTGGGCTCCCATACATAGGCCTGCTACCTTAATCAAGCACCTATACTATGTGCTAGCACTTATTGAGTACCAGTTGTATATACTAAAGCATTATTGAGCCCCCCTGTGTGTACCAAAAGTGTATTGAACATCACCTTTGTGATGATCAACTTTTATCAAGTTAACAGCATTTGTTGAGCCCCTACTATATATGTGTCAAGCATTTGCTAACAACCAGTATTTAGTAGGCACGTGCTTTGTACCAGTTCACATTCAAGCAATTGCTTTGTGCAAACTTTTCTGCTGTGGGCCGTTTACTGGCCACCTGCTAGGGGCTGGCACATACCTGTGCATATGTGTGGTGTGTTAGTGTCGTCGTCACTCTTTAGCAAGTGCCTACTGTGTGCAGCCAACCTCTCCACTGTGGGCTGACTGCACACCCAGCATGAATTCTCAGCAGGTGCCATTGCCATCAGGTACCCACTGCATGGCAGGAAACATTCTGAAATCTCCTGCCTCGATATTTATGGAGCACTGGCTGTGTGTGACCTTTATAGGATACGTACTGCGTGCCAGGATTGATTAAACACATGCTGTGTGCCAACCAGAATTCCTGCTGTGTGACAGCTGTATGCCTACCCACACACCCCAGTATCTGCCCCAGGGGTCCCTTTGTCCACAGCCCTCCACGTGGAAACTGAGTAACCCACCCCCAGAAATCAGAGATGCTGGGACAAGTGTCCAGGCCTCTGTGAGTACCGTCTCTGGGTGTACCCACACTGTTTTGGGCTGCTGGGCGTGAACGGAGCGGGGAAAACGTCCACGTTCCACATGGTGACTGGGGACACGGTGCCCAGCGGGGGCGAGGTGGTGCTGGCAGGCCACAGGTGAGGGGCTCTGGAGCCTTTGTTCCTCCCCACCCCCCGCCTTTGCATGCACGGATCGGGTGGGGCTTGAGTCCCTGACCCCCACACCTCTGCAGGGTTGACTTGGCCCTGAGACACCTTCTGTCCCTTACCAGGGTGGGTGGGCGGGCCCTGAGACCCCTGCTTGCCCCCAGTATGGCCGGGGCCCAGCTAGTTCCTGAAGTTCTCTGTTCCCCATCCCCAGCGTGGCTCGGGAACCGGCCGTAGCTCACTGCCGCATGGGCTACTGCCCTCAGTTGGATGCCATCTTCGAGCTGCTGACCGGCCGCGAGCACCTGGAGCTGTTTGCACGCCTGCGCGGTGTCCCGGAGGCCCAGGTTGCCCAGGTGACACTCCCCACAACCAACCCCTCCGGTCTCCGCCCCCAACCCCGCCCCTGGACCGTAGCCTACCCTGGTGCTCCTTGGCCACACCCTGAGTCCAGGTCCACCCACGCTTGGTCCTCTGGCCCCGCCCCTGCCCTCCCCCAGCTCCTACATACTCACTTGGGTCTACCTCCCTTTCCCACTGTCCTCCCTGCTTAGGGACCCGCCCCTTCCCTCCTTGACCCTTCTGGCTATGGCCCCGCCTACTCACTTCCTGCTTAGGGCTTCCTGGTGGCTTCCTGCCCTGGGCCAGGTCCTGCCTCTCCCTTACTCTGGCCCCGCCCTCAGGTAGCAGTCCTGCCCCTGTACTCGCTCTGGCCCCACCCTCTTTAGTTACCTTCCACCCCCTTCCTCGCCCTAGCCCCTCCCACTCACCCTGCTCCCCCATGCTCACTCTGCCCCCCCTCATTCTGGCCCTCCTCCTCACTCTGGCCCCCCATTCTCTGACCCCCGCTATCCTGGCCCCCCTGCTCACTCTGGTCCCCCTACTCTGACCCGGTCCCCCCCCAGTGCTCACTCTGCTCCTCCCACTTCGTCCCGCCACAGACAGCAAGCTCGGGCCTGGGGCGCCTGGGCCTCCCTCAATGTGCGGACAGCCCCGTGGGCACCTACAGCCGGGGCAACAAGCGGAAACTGGCGACAGCCGTGGCTCTGGTGGGGGATCCAGCTGTGGTCTCTCTGGTATGTGAGGGGGAGGGCAGGGGGCGTGTGCGCAGAGTAGGGGCGGGGCCCCGCTTAAGCATCTCCCTGCTCCCAGGACGAGCCACCACTGGCACGGACCCTGGCGCACGGCGTTTTCTCTCGAACAGCCTTCTGGCCGTGGTGCCCACCTCACACATGTGGGCCCTGAACCGGACGGCTGGGTCTGCGGGTCCAGGTGTTCCATCCTGGGGAGAAAGGTGGACCAGGCCCGAGCTAGAGGCTATCAGAGCACAGGGTCACAGGGGATGGCATGGTCCTCGCTTGGGGGAGGGTGCCAGGCCTGAGTGGGAGAACACACGGAGGTGGTACCCGGCCCAGGGAACAGAGCAGTCTGGGCCTGACAGGAAGTGTTCAGAGCACAGGGTGGTCCAGAGCTGGAGGCTGAGGGTCCCCAGCAGGAGCAGCCCAGTGACCGGCACCGCCCGTCCAGGCCTGGCCAGAGCTCACGGCTCCGGGCTCCCACAGCATGGGGGAGAGAGGCGCTCTGCACGCACCTGGCCATCATGGTGAACGGGCGGTTCCGCTGCCTGGTCAGCACGCAGCACCTCCAGGGCCGGTGAGTGGGGTGAGGCTTCAAGGCCTGGGTGCGGGCAGATCCGGGTGGGGGTGTAGGTGGGGCCGGAGGGGAGATCAAGCGGGGTCAGGTTGGCTCTCAGCGGGGAAGAGACAAGCATTATGGACTGTCCAGGATGAGAGGGGTGATGAGGTCTGATGGCTGAGGGTGGGTCCATGGGCGGAGACACAAGAAGGTCTGCAAGTGGGTGTGGCCCAGAGGTTGGACTGGGGCGTGGCATTGCGTGGGCGGGGCCTGGGAGAAGCAGGGTTAGAGAAGGGATGAGCATGTAGGAGGGGTGAGGACGAGCAGGGGTTGGGGTCAGGTGTGTTGGGCAGGGGGTCAACAGGAGCCAGGTATAGGGGTGGGGCTAGGAGAGAGCTGGAGGGTGGTGTGGGTGGGTCTTAGGGAAGAGCGGGCTGCGGGACTCCACCCCACCCCACCCTACCCTACCCTAGGTTCAGGGCTGGCCACACGCTGACCCTGCGGGTGTCCGAGTCTCAGTCCGAGTCGGTGGCAGCCTTCGTGGCGGCCACGTTCCCGGGGGCCGAGCTACGGGAGGTGCACGGTGGCCGCCTGCGCTTCCAGCTGCTTCCGGGAGCGCGCTGCGCCTTGGGGTACCTCTTTGGAGAGCTGGCGGCACGTGGCGCAGAGCACGGTGTGGAGGACTTTTCTGTGAGCCAGACCACGCTGGAGGAGGTGACCTCAGCGCCAGGACGGGGCTGGTGGTAAAGGTGGGGCTGGGGGCCAGACCCTTCAGCTGACCTCCCTTCTGTTTCCTTGGGCTGCCCAGCACTAGGTATTCCTGTAACTCTCCAAGGATCAGGGGAAGGAGGAGGACAAGAAGGACGCAGAAGTGGGGGCGGACCCTGTGCCAGGCCCACAGACCCCCAGACTCATCACCCAGTTCCTCGAGGACCACAGCATGGCCGGGACGGTGCTCTGAGCCTCCCTCTCCTCCGTGGAGCTGGTGGGGGGCCCTGGGAGTGACCAAGGCAGGGCAGAGGGGTTGGAGCCGGGACCCAGGCTCCCTGAGGGGTTGCTGCCCTGGAGGGAATGCAGAGAAGTCATGGTGTGAAGCCCTCCGCACGTGTGTCCATGCGTCAGGCTGCATGCTTGTCCAAAAATGGCTCTCCATGTCTGGATATCGGGCCTGGCACCCGAGTGTGTGCAGGAGTTAGTCTGTGGAGACAGATGCAATCTCTAGGGGGCAGGTGAGAGTCCAGCTGCAGCCGACTGGACTCCCAGCTCTGAAGCCCTCTGTGGTGGGCTGTGGCGTGTCTCTCTGCAGGTTTGCCCTTCATAAGAGCCTGGACAATGGTCCCGGGGCCCCTAAGTGCCCACGTGGTTCTGGCGTCTGAGGGCGGTACCTGTGAGTGGCTGGTCGTGAAATGGGCCTGCGGTCAGGGCTCAGGAATGTCTGGGGCAGCTGGAGGAGCCCAGCAGGGGCGACCCAGACCTCAGGCCTCCCGACCAGGTCAGAAGCCCACCAGCCGGCCCTCGCTGCCTGCTCCTGGTCTCCAGAGCAATGAGTGGTGGGCAGAGGTTCCTTAAGGGGCTTCTGGGAGGGGTCTGTGGATGGACTCGGGCCTGGAGAGTCGGGTTTGCCATGAGGGGCTGTGGCCTGCATGCCCCGTGCCCAGAGATCACACCTGAGGTCAGTGGGGGCCAGTGTTGGGACTCTGGAGGGGTGGGGGAGGAAGATCTGGGGAGGGGAGAAGGCTCAGACTGGGGGGCTCGAAGAGAAGAGGTGGTCATGGGGGGAGGGGGCAGGAAGCTGTACACACCGCCAGCGCTCCAGATCGGGGAGCCCCACCAGGGAAGGGAGGAGGCAGCGTGGTGGCCTCAGAAGTGTTAGCAGCCCTGCTGCTGGCCAGCTGTCCCGTGGTCGTGGTCGGTGCATGTCCCTGGAATGTAGAATGGGGAGTGAGGGGTGGGAGCTGGGCTGAGGGGAGGAGACCCACTATGCCCAGCGCCGCCTGGGCCCTGGGGTCTGCAGGGGAGTCGCCAGAGGACATAGGGCAGGCACACTCATGAAAGGTAGGAGGACTGGAGGGCAGGTGTCTGTGTCCAGGGGTATCCGTTACATCTGCGGAGCTGGGTGGCTTCTCAGCATGTGTCCAAGCCTATGTCCCTGCGTGTCATCGTGCTCCCGTGTCTGCACTCCTGGGTGCATCTGGGTGTGGCCGAGTGGGGGGGTCAACGTCTTTGCCATCCCCATGTGCCCGCCAGGGCCTTGCCCGGGACGCCAGTGCCAGGCAGGGGCACCTCAACCAACGTGCGTGCGTGCGCAGAGCTCCTGAAAGCGGAAGCTGGGGGCGGAGCCTGGGACCCCACCTTCAAGCCCACTGAGCGGAGGGGCAGGCTGAGGCTGCGGAGGGTCAGGGGTGGGTCTGAGTCACCGCCTCCGGAGGCCTTTTCCTGTGGGGGGAAGCGCCCGCCAATGAGGGCTGGGCCTGTCACGTGGGCCTGACAGCTGGGGGGGGTGGTGGCCAGCGACAATGTGGTCCCGAGGCCACTGACACTAGGAGCTGCAGCGCTGAGACCCCCGGCCCGCCCCGCCTCGGGCCCCTCGGGCCACTTGGCCTGGCCACAACATGTTCTCCAGGAAGAAGCGGGAGCTCATGAAAACCCCTTCTATCTCGAAAAAGAACCGGGCGGGAAGCCCCTGTCCGCAGCCTTCGGGGGTGAGTGAGCCTCTGCTGGGAGCCGGAGCGGGCGGGGATCTTGGAGCGACACCCGGGCAGCAGGGGGACCGGGGAACACCCTGCGCTCGGGCCTGGCGGGGCAGGGCCGGGCAGTGCCATGCTGGGCCGGCGGCGCGGGGCTGGAGCCAGCTACGGCCCCAGGCTGGACTGCAGGGGCCACGCAGGACGGGCTGGGATCCCCACGTCTAGTTCACAGTAGGAGCCCTTGGGATGGCCACTGCACACCCCACCCCGTCCGGGGCTGCCTGTGGGGTCCAGGGAGTGTGGGTGCTCTGGGTCCGGGACTCTAGGGTGAGGGCTTAGGGAACTTGGGGCCTCCAGGCACAGTTAGATGTGAGAGCTACAGCCCAGCCACCGGGGGAATGTTTAGAGCAAGCAGAGTGTGCGGCGAGATCCATGGGGTGGGCCTCGTACGAAGCAGGCCTGTGGTGTCCGCAAGACTGAGGGGCCTAGCGGACCCTCAGAGTAAAAGAATCGAGGAGGTGTCTTCACCAGTGAGTAGGTGTGTCTGCAGTGGCCTCCCCTGAGGGGAGCTAAGGAGACCCTGGCCCTCCCTACCCCGCCCCCCTCCCAGGAAGTGGGTTGCCCCTCCCCCACACCCCGGCTGTGGTTTGGGTAGAGGCCGTTGTTTGTGAAAGCTCTGGGGAAGAGGATGTTGGGTAACAGGTGCGGGAGGGGCACAATACCAAATCTCAGCCCTCTGACCTGTGGCCTTTGATCCCCTGTGGGGTCAGGCTGAAGACCCTCCAGAGCCCCACTTCACTTCTGGGAAAACTGAGGCAGGGCCCAGGGGGGGCACCTGCTCTAGTGGCTCCCCCCACCCTCCCAGGAGCTGCCCAGGAGAGATGGGGCTGATGCAGTGTCCCTGGCGCCCAGCCTGGAACCACCAAGTGTGGCCTTGAATGCCAAGGCCACAGGCACACTCAAGAGGCCCACCAGCCTAAGCCGCCATGCCAGCGCTGCCGGCTTCCCACTGTCCGGAGCCAGCACCTGGACGCTGGGCCGTGGCCACCGCAGCCCACTGTCAACAGCCAGCCCAGCCGAGGGACCCATCCAGGGACCCTGCCCCGACACTGTGGAGGACATCTCCCACCTGCTGGCTGACGTGGCCCGCTTTGCCGAGGGCCTTGAGAAGCTGAAGGAGTGTGTTCTGCGTGAAGGTGAGAAGTGGCAGGGACACCGCGGCCTGGGTGGAAGGCAGTTGGACACAGATATCCCAAACCCTGTGGGGTTGACGCAGGATGGAGGGAGGGATTTGGGGAGGCTCCAAAGAGAGTTGTAGGGAGGGCTTCACGGAATAAGTCATTGCAGCTAGGGTTCTGAGGGATGTATAGGACTTTGGCGGCAACCAGGAAGAGGGAATGTCACATGCACAGGCTCAGAAACATGGAGTGGAGGTGCATTTGGGGGAACAAGTTTCGGGTGTATGAAATGTGTGAGGGTGGAGGCATTGAGAATGGCAAGCAGAGGGACCCTGGATGTTATCCTGAGGGTGGTGGGGAGCCGTAGAAGGTGTTAGAGCAGAGGTGGAACAAGGTCAGATCTGCACGTTGGACTGGAATGGACTGGAGGCAGGCTGAGGTCTGGACAGAGAGAGATTCAGGACGGACAAGGGGCAGGACCAGCACATAAGCTGCAGGAGTGAGCGGCCTGTGGGATGGCAGTTCCGTTTTCTCCACGCGTCTGCTGACAGCCCAGCTTCCTGCCGAGTTATTTTCATCTGCTTCCTGTTTGTCTTTGGCCGCCAAGGAGGGCACTATGATCTCTCCTGCCAGAAACCGCAGTGCCAGGGCCATGCTAAACACTGGCCTGCTCCCCACAGGTGCCCATTTTACAGATGAGGAAACTGAGGCCCAGAGAGGGGCTCTGACTCCTGGCTCAACCAGCCAAGGAGGGGCCAGAGCCCGGATTCGACCTCAGACTGGAGAGACCTCAGCTTTGTAGGAGCTAATGGGCTCTGCTGGCCGGGCCTCTGCTGGGTCGGGGGGTGTCAGCCCCCAGGATTATCTGGTCCTGGGATGGGGCTGGAGTTGTTTCCTGGGGAAACTCTCTCTAATCTCGGTTCCTGTCCGATCCTGGTGCTTCCTTGGAGGCCAGGCCTGGGCAGGGTTGAGCCAGTAGGCGTCCTGCAGGAGGATGGGCCAGGGCAGGGGCACCCTTCTTTGAGCATTGGGGCAGCCCTGGGCCAGGGGAAGGGTCTGGAGCAGAGAGCATGTGGGTTTGCATCCTGCTGCTGCCCCTGCCAGGCTGTGAGACTGGATCAGCTGTCCCTTCTCTAAGCCTCTGGCATTTCATCCGTGAAACGGGGCAATGATATGCCCTGGGGAGTTGCTGACTGTAACCAGATGTCCTCGGCTCACAGTGTTTGTTGTGGGGACAGTGAGAGGGCTTGGGGACCCCGTGCTGTCTACCTAGGAAGCAGTGGGCGGCGGGATCTAGGTGGGCAGGGTCTCCTCACACCTCCCCACGCCCTGTACCTGGGCCTGTTTCCCTGCCTGCCCTTGGCCGGTCCCATCCCGAATCAAGTTGCATCTCCCTGGGTCCCAGGCTCCTGCTACCTGAGGCTGGGGAGCTAGCAGGACGCCGGGGCGGAGCTTTCCTCGGAGGGGGGCGGGTCTTCGGACCAGCCAGAGCCGGTTTGCTTGCAGAGGACCTGGCACCAAAGACCCCGGACCAGCCAGTTGCCTAGCCCGGCCTGCGCATTCACGGTCCCTGCGCCCTGACGGCTGCGCCATGTGTATCTGCGGGACAGTGCACCCGGCGCTGGAGCAGGCGCTGGTGCGCTGCCAGGCGGGGCCCCGAGGTGAGGGGACCGTGCGGGGTGCGGGGTGCAGGGCCTGGCCAGGAGCACGTGGCACTCGGGGCATTTGCTGCCCAGCGCTTGCCTTGGCCAGTGCTGAGCTGGGCATGTCCAGGCTTCTCCAGAGTCCCACCTGCCCAGGTGAGTGTGCTGCGGGGACCCAGGTGGCCGAGGCCCAGGCGACATGAGGGGCCTGGTGTGTGGGAGGAATGTCCCGGGAAGGGGCGTGGCCCGGCCTTTCCTCAGCCGGCCTTTTATGGATTCCGTAAGCTCCTTCCCACCTCCCTGACTTGGCCTCGGATTCAAAATCCTACCCGGTGCTGAGGCACTGGGCTGCACTCGGAGGAATTTGGGGCCAGGGACTCCGTGGGGGTCTCCCTGTCGGTGGCATTCAGTGGGGGTCCTCAGTGCTGAAAAGGGATCAGACACCTATTTTCAGATTCCGTTTTTAAAATTTTAAATTTATTATTTATTTATTTTTGAGCATCAGGTTCCAGGCACAGAGTCAGAGGCACACAGGTGAGGGAGATATACTCCCAGCTGGTGGCCAGGTCCCTCCTGGGTCTCAGGGTCGGCTCATTCCTTCCCCATCCATACATTCCTTCGGCTTTGTTTCCACTAGATGGTGCGTGTTCTGCCCACACACAGCGCTTTTTTCCAATTAAGAACATCTGAGGAGGGCATTTAAAGCCATGTTTGAAGATGCAGATCTGATCTTGACTCTCCTTTGCCCTAACACCTTCTGTGGCTCCCCATTGCCCTTATGGTAAAGCCAGGCAGTGTCCTTCTGCCTGGCATTCTCATGCCTTCAAAGCTAGTGGAGATGGAAAAGCTGCGTGATCCTTGAGAAATGACTTCTCCCCTGTATGCCTCAGTTTCCTCATCTGCAGAATGGGGGTGATGACAGCACCTGCCTCATGGGGTGGCTGGTCGGGAGAGAGTGAGGTAACGGGGTGTTTAAGCCCCAGTGCCCAGGCAGGCAGGGCTGGGAAAGAGCTGGACAGAGCCCTGAGAGTTTGGGGCAGGGAAGGGGCCGGGTGGGTTGCCTGGAGGAAGAGGCACCAGGACTGCAACTTGAAGGTCACTGGGAGTGTTTTCTGGAGGGACGAGGAAAGGGTGTTCTGAGCAGGACTGCCTAGACTGACATCTGACCTTTGATGACCTGGCCAGCAGTCGAGAGAGGGACAGTTCCTCACACACACACACACACACACACACCTCCCAACGAGGTCACACACTGAGCCTCAGGCAGTTATCTTCTCCCACCTTGGCCTCAATTTCCCTACCCGGGGACAGGAGCTCTGAGGAGGGTTAGGATTAGGTGGTTAGATGGGCAGGCTTTTCCTTCCCTCCCTGCTCATACCCCCTCTGCCCGGCAGACCTCCTAGAGGCCCGCCGGCCGCTTGCCCATGAGTGCCTGGGTGAGGCCCTCCGCGTGATGCACCAGGTCATCTCCAAGTACCCACTGCTGAACACCGTGGAGTCGCTCACAGCTGCCGGCACCCTCATTGCCAAGGTCAAAGGTCAGCCAGGACAGGGCAGCAAGGGCTTTCCGTCTGGGCGGGCTTCCTGAAGGAGGGGATGTTTGAAGTGGGTTTTGAAGGATGCATAGGAGTTTGATGGGCACAACAACTCCAATGCTCCCCCTTCAGTTAGTTGCACGGGTGGTCACCTCCCAGACTGGGCCAACCCCTCTCGTCCTTGTCTGTCCCTAGCCTTCCATTATGAGTGCAACAATGATTCGGACAAGCAGGAGTTTGAGAAGGCCTTGGAGACCATCGCAGTCTCCTTCAGCAGCACGTGAGTGTGGGGGTGGGGAAGGGTGGCAGAGGGTGGGGACCCATGTGCCTCTTGACACTTGCCCCCTGCCCTGCAGTGTGTCCGAGTTCCTCATGGGTGAAGTGGACAGCAGCATCCTCCTCTCAGTGCCCCCTGGGGACCCGGGCCAGGTGAGAAGGGATGGCCTGGGTGCTGCACGGGGTCAGGCTGGCAGGGCGGATGAGTACCCCCTGCCCGCTCTGTGGACCGTGGTCTCTCGCTCTGTCCAGGGGGGGCGGTGACTGTCTCCTGCAGGGTGGGCATCAAACAGTACCCAGCCCGGACTGGACTCACCTGTCTCCCTCTGGTACAGTCAATGGAGAACCTGTATGGACAGGGGAGTGAGGGTGCCCCCCTCAGCAGTGAGGACTGTGATGAGGGTGAGTCTCTGAGCCTAGGGGTGGAGGGCTGAGGACGGAAGGAATGGTGGGCTGGGGAGGAGCCCGGGCTGAGAGGTGTCTGTCCCGCAGGCTGCCTCTCCCCGGAGGCGGTGGACACGCTGCTGCAGCGCTGTGAGGGGGGTGTGCATGCCGCGCTGCAGTACGCCAAGAACATGGCCAAGTACATGAAGGACCTCATCGGCTACCTGGAGAAGCGGAACGCGCTGGGTGCGAGCTGGGGCCCGCGGGGCGGGGTCTGGCTGGAAGGCCCCTCCCCTCACCCCTGCGCTCACATCCCTCCCCTCCCCCCTGCGCTCACACCCCTCCCCTCCCCTCCCCCCTGCGCTCACATCCCTCCCCGCCTGCAGAGATGGACTTTGCCAAAGGCCTGCAGAAGATCGTCCAGAACTGCAGACAGAGCGTCATGCAGGAGGTAGGGAACTCGAAGGAACGGGTCGGGGTCCCTCAGGCCTAGGTGTGTTTCGCCCCTCAAAGATGGGCCAAAGGAAAGGGGTTTCCCATCTCTGCAAGGGCAGCTGAGGGCGCTGGGGAGGCGGCAGGGCTTCCACGAGGGCGCCTGTCCCACCCCTGTGACTGCCGGCCCCGCCCCCACAGCCGCACATGCCCCTCCTGTCCATCTACTCGCTGGCCCTGGAGCAGGACCTGGAGTTCGGCCACGGCCTGGTACAGGCGGTGGGCACTCTGCAGACCCAGACCTTCGTGCAGGTAGGCTTCGCCCTGGAGGGTGGGTGGGGTGAAGGGTGCCCGGGTCTCCATCACACCCGTCTCCCCACCCCCAGCCCCTGAACCTGCGGCGGCTCGAGCACGAGAAGCGCAGGAAGGAGATCAAGGAGTCTTGGCACCGCGCCCAGAGGAAGCTGGTACCGCGGGGCGGCGGGGCTGGGAGGGGGCAGGGTGGGCCGGCTCGCGCATGCGCAGTCCCCTGGTGCACTCCCGGGTGGTCCTTTCCCGAGTTTTGCGGACACCTGGCAGAGTGCCCTGTGCCCGCGTGGGGCTCGCTGTGGCGTCACAGGTTGGAGCGGGTCCTGCCTCCCAACTGCTCCAGCCCCATTACCTGCAGCTGCAGCAGGAGAGGCCCTGGCCCGGGGCCCCCATCACTGTCACGGGTCAGATGTCCGGAGGGACCGGATCACCCGTGGCCGCCAGGAGCAGGTCTGGGTTAGAGGGAAGCTGAGGCTCTCTCAGGTCTGGTGGATGCTCCAGGTTCCTCTGTGTTGCTCTTTTCCCACCTCTCTTTTGGGCTGTTCCAAAGGCACTAGCAATCTTTTGCACTGCTCTTTAGGCCTGCTAACAGGGTCTGCGGTGCAAAGAGCCCCCACGGCCCCTGCTCCAGCTAGTGGTATCCTGTGGCACATCTGGCAAATGAGCCTCTCCCCCCTTTTCTACACCTGATGACAGCTTGCCGAGTACCCTGTTCTGCTTCTGGCCTTTTACAGTCACCTCCATATCCAGGGACTGGCCCCATCTCACTCCATGTGAAACTCCTCCTCCCTTTTTCTCAGCTACAAGTGCTCAGCTGCAGAGCCATAGGGCTTAGTTCACTAAATCCCTATTGATGAACAGTTTAGTTGTTGTTGAGCTGTTGCTGTTTCAAACACCACGGCTGTGACGAGCTTGTGCCCCTGTTCTCAGACATGTGACCTAGCATTTATCTCAGATCAGTGCCCGAAAGGTAATGGCTGGGTCACAGATGTCATGAGCATAGAAGCTGACCTCCTGAGCCACAGCCATGCTTTTCCTCTTCTGTGAGCTCTAAGTTCATATCCTTTGCTCACCTTGGATTGGACAGTAGCCTGTTTCTTATTGACTTGCTAGAGCTCTTTACATATTAGAGAACCCAGCCCTTGATGACATGTGTTACAAACTCCCCCACCCCCAGTTTATTGTTTTGACTTTTGATTTAACCTGTTGCCTGTTTTCCCAGTTGAAACCCATGATTGTTAGTAGCAGTCTTTTATGGTTTCTGGGTTCTGTGTCACGTATGGAAAGGCCTTCCCCATGCTATGTTTAAGAAATTCTCTCAAGGTTTCTCCTAGTACTCATGTGAGCTCTTTTCTTTATGTTTAAGCTTCTGATCGTGTAGACTGTGAGGTGTGGCCCCCAGAAGGCCCACTGGGTTTTGACTAAGTGCTCTTCCTGCCAACCCTGAGGGTGCCTGACTTCCTGTCTGAGCAGCCTCACTGTTCTCATCTCTGAGACAGGAAATGAAAGAGATAGAAGCACAAGTCGCTCTGGCAGGTGTGGGTGTAGGTGTCGAGAGGATGATGTAGTTGGTGTCTCCTTCAGAGCTTAGCTGTGCCTCAGCTTCCCTGGCTGTGAAAGGGGCATGCCAGATACTGGCTCCTCCCTGGGTCGCCCTGTAGGTGTCACCTCCTGTCCTTCCACCACTGGTTCTTGGGCGGGGGCCTCTGTTTGCTTGACTGGCCATGGGATTCTGGCCCAAGGGATGGGGGTGGCAGAGGTCCCTAACGCGGTCTCTGGCTGATGGTGCTGGTCTGGTCCTTCCCATGTCCACAGCAAGAAGCAGAGTCCAATCTGCGCAAGGCCAAGCAGGGCTACGTTCAGCGCTGCGAAGACCACGACAAGGCCCGCTTCCTAGTGGCCAAGGCAGAGGAAGAGCAGGTGGGCGCTGGCCCGGGTGCAGGGGGCGTGGCCTCCAAGACCCTGGACAAGAGGCGGCGCCTGGAGGAGGAGGCCAAAAACAAGGTGAGGGCGGGTCAGGGGGCAGGAGGTGCGGGACAAGACCCATGGTGTCAGGGCCTGACCTGTGCAGGATTGCCCACCGCCGGGCCTTTGTCTGGGCTGTGCCTCCTGCCAGGAATGCCTTCCTGTCCTTTTGTGCCTGGCTGATTTCCATGTGGGGCCTGAAGATGCCCTGAGGGCTGAACCCCAGACTGAGGCCTCTCTGGGCACCCTGCCCCGCCCCCACCCCCACCCCAGGCGGAGGAAGCCATGGCCACGTACCGCACGTGCGTGGCGGATGCTAAGACGCAGAAGCAGGAGCTTGAGGACACCAAGGTGACGGCACTCCGGCAGATCCAGGAGGTCATCCGGCAGAGCGACCAGACCATCAAGTCGGTGAGCACCGTGCTCCCACCCCCAGCCCCCGCCCCTGTCGCTGCCCCTCAGGACCTCCAGCACTTAGGGCCCCTCCCACCTGCCTGCCCGTAGGCCACCATCTCCTATTACCAGATGATGCACATGCAGACGGCCCCGCTGCCTGTGCACTTCCACATGCTGTGCGAGAGCAGCAAGCTGTACGACCCGGGCCAGCAGTACGCCTCCCACGTGCGCCAGCTGCAGCGCGGCGAGGAGCCAGACGTGCACTACGACTTTGAGCCCCACGTCTCCGCCAACGCCTGGTACCCTGCCGTCTGCGCATGCCTGGGGGAGCCGGACTTCCCTCCTGAGGTGGGGGAGGGGGCAGTGAGCCTCAGTGACCCCCATCGTGGCCCCTTATTTTGGCTGTTGGTCCCACCAGGTCCCCAGTCTTGCGCGCCCGAAAGGGCAGCTTCAACGTCAGCGATGCTGCGGTGGCGGAGGCTGCGGGCTGCCCCCCAGAGGAAGGTGGGCCTGGCGACGGGGAGCTTGCCAAGGAGCGCAGGGGTGAGTGTCCAGCAGGGGCAGGGGCGGGCGCGGGCCCCCTGCAGCCCCCTTCAGCCCTTCACTGGGGACAACTTGGCAGGTGGGCGCGGACACCAGGTGCACAAGTCGTGGCCGATCGCCATCTCAGACTCTGACGCCAGTCTGGACCCCAGCCCTGGCTCAGGTGAAGGGGCCTGGCCGGCAGGTGGGGGGGTGGGGGGCTCACGGAGCTGCCGCCCCCGCCCCCAGGTTTCAGCGGGCTCATTGTGCAGCCGGGGGCCCTTGGGGGAGTCTCTGACAACCCGTTTCCTGCTCAGGGGACTTTAAGAAGTTCGAGCGCATGTCTTCCAGTGGCACCATGTCGTCCAGCGAGGAGCTGGCCGACCAGGAGAGCAGCACAGGCGCATCAGCCTTTGACCAGGGTGAGGGGACCCCTGGGCGGGGGAGAGGGGGGTTTGGACTCTCTGTGCGCCTGGCCCTGACCTGCCTCGGTAACACTGACCACCTGCCCCCCACCCCCACCAGATGACCTCAATGGCATGGCCCCGGAGCTGCCTGTGGCCATGCCCAGCGGGCCCTTCCGCCATGTGGGGCTGTCCAAGGCAGCCCGTACCCACCGGCTCCGGAAGCTCCGCTCGCCGGCCAAGTGCCGGGAGTGCAACAGCTACGTGTACTTCCAGGGCGCCGAGTGTGAGGAGGTGAGTGGCGGTCCCGGGGGAGCCAGGCACCTGCATGTGCGCCCTCAGGACGGTGCCATGCAGAGCGCTGGAGGGAAGTGAAGCCAGGAGCACTTGCAGTCTCCGGGGGGAGAGCATCCCAGGTGGAGGGCTCAGCCAGTGCTGAGGGAACCAGAGGGCCGTGGGAGCAGCCCAGGCTGCACTGGTGCCAGGGGCACGTTTCCCAACCAGGAGGGGTGAAAGCTGCCCTGTAGGGGGGTGATGAGAGCGGCGGGGGTCGCGGTGGAAGGGGGAGCCGCGGGTGTCTGTGCGGAGCTGGGGCACCAGGAAGGTCTGCTCACTCCTCACCTGCTCCCAGTGCTGCCTGGCCTGCCACAAGAAGTGCCTGGAGACCCTGGCCATCCAGTGTGGCCACAAGAAGCTGCAGGGCCGCCTGCAGCTCTTTGGCCAGGACTTCAGCCAGGCCGCCCGCAGCACCCCGGACGGCGTGCCCTTCATCGTCAAGAAGTGTGTCTTCGAGATCGAGCAGCGGGCGCTGCGCACCAAGGTGACCGACGCGGGCACAGCTGCGGGGGCTCCAGCCGAGGGGCCATGCAGGGAGGGGAGGGGTGTGGGCCCAGGCTGACTGCGGGCTCCCACAGGGCATCTACCGGGTCAATGGGGTGAAAACGCGTGTGGAGAAGCTGTGCCAGGCCTTCGAGAACGGCAAAGAGCTGGTGGAGCTGTCGCAGGCCTCGCCCCACGACATCAGCAACGTCCTCAAGCTCTACCTGCGCCAGGTGAGACAGATGGGGACAGAGCAGAGCAGATCCTGGGCTGGACCTGAGCTTGGTGGGGGGCGTGGCCAGATCTAAGCAGGGTTGTGGTTGCTAGGCCAGGGGCGTGGTCAGTACAGGGTGGGCGGGACCGGTGGCTGTCAGGGGCGGGGCTGCTGTTAGGGGCGGGGCCAGTGCAGGATGGATGGCGTGGGGCCAGGCCCATTGACCCCCACACCTAACCGTCACCCTGCAGCTGCCTGAGCCGCTCATCTCCTTCCGCCTCTACCATGAGCTTGTGGGGCTGGCCAAGGACAGTCTGAAGGCAGAGGCCGAGGCCAAGGCGGCAACCCGAGGCCGGCCGGATGTCACCGAGAGAGAGGCTGTGGCCGTGGCCATGGCGGGCCGGCTGCGGGAGCTCCTGCGGGACCTGCCGCCAGAGAACTGGGCCACGCTGCAGTACCTGATGCGGCACCTGCGCAGGTGATGGCTGACCAGGCCGGGGTCAAGGGCGGCGGGGTCCCGGGAGGCGCTCACACCTGCTCCTGCACCCTCTGACCCCCAGGATCGTGGAGGTGGAGCAGGACAACAAGATGACACCGGGGAACCTGGGCATTGTGTTTGGGCCCACGCTGCTGCGGCCCCGGCCCACTGAGGCCACCGTGTCCCTCTCCTCCCTGGTGGACTACCCACACCAGGCCTGCATCTTGGAGACGCTCATCACCCACTACAGCCTGGTCTTTGAGGAGGAGCCCGAGGTGGCATCTGGGTGCCAGGTGAGGGTTGTCCACCCTGGGCGGGGGGTGTAGGACTCTGTGAATATCATGGGGGCCGGGAATCTCACTCACCCACAGCAGGATTAGACAGAAAGAAGGGCTGGGAGATGTCTGGCTCGGACGGGGCCAGAGCCCTGTCAGGGGCACCCAAGGCATCTTTTAAGCAAAGAACTGGATGAAGTGTGGGTTCAGATCTGCGGACGGAGCCCCAGGCAGTGCAGAGGCCCTTCGGCCTTCCCCCACGTCCCGTGGAGCTCACATCAGAACGCACTAGACCCACCGTCCTGCCCCTTCTCCCATTTCCCATCTCTGTGCTGCCTACAGCACATCCTCTGGGTCCAGCCTGCTGCTCTCCTCAGCCGACAGGCCTTGTTTCTGTTCGCTTCCAGGCAGCATCAGCTCCCACGCTCAGTCCCCACTGTGCGTCTTTAACCCCTCATCTGGCATCTCTGGCTGTGGAGGTGACACGCCTGGGTGTGGCCTCAGGACAGTGGCTCCCACGCTGGTGTCCATGCAGGGCCTGCCTCAGCCTTTCTGGCCAGGGCCTCTGCCCGCTTTGGACGAGCTCAGCCTGCTCGTGACTTGGGATCTGGGGGCCTCACCTGCTCAGCTGCAGCGGGTGTTAAGTTTTTAGGGTTTAACAAGACAGAAAAATGGAATGTGGGATGGCCGGAACTGTGGCGCTCCCTGACCTCCATTCCGCCTCTGCAGGATGTGACGTCCAACCAGGGGGCCGAGGTGGTGGTCCAGGAGCCGTATCCGGAGGCCAGCGGGGGCATGGCCTCACCCCTGCCGGAGGAAGCTGAGGATGGGGGCCTTGGTGAGCAGTGGGCCCAGGCGGCGGATGACACAGTGGGTCCACCTCAAGGGCTGCATCCCGATTTGTCTCCCATGGAGACCATGAGTATCACCTGCTTTTGCACTGTCTTTAAAGTGTTACAAACTCTTGGAAAGAGACACCCTTTCGAGGTGTTTTTTCCAACGCCGAGAAATGGGCACCCCGAAGTGGAAACGACCCCAGTGTCTGAGACCCTGCACCTCCGCCTGACCCGGGAGGGTTCTAAAGGGGGAGCTGGGCCTGCTGCGGGGAGGCGGACGCCCAGTCCTCCGCCCAGTGCCCCCCACCCTGCTCACAGGTTGTCCATCTTTTTCTCTCTCTCTGTCCCTGTCCCTCTCCCTTGGACTTTCCAGAACCCCACGTTGCCTCCAATGACTCCGACTCAGAACTGGAGGAGGCCTCGGACCTGCCATCCCCAGCGGGTGGGGCGGCCCTGCACCGCCTCAGCTTCCTGGAGAAGTTGGGCGGCGTGGAGGGTGGCCGGGACAGCCGCAGTGGCAGTGAGGAGCAGCTGGGCACTGCTACCGGGGAGGAGGAGGATGGGCCCGGGCCTGGGGTCTGGGAGGACCTCGGGGAGGAGCCGGCCCGGCGGCTCGCCGAGCACAATACCAACCAGTGCAACAATGTGGCTGTGGCCCGCCTGCCAGCCGTGAGGCTCCGTGGCGGGCGGCTGGCAGGGGGCGCGGGCTGGGAGAGGCGGCCAGAGTTCGTGTAGCTGGGGCAGCGGGCAGGTCTGCTCCAGGCTCCTGTCCCTGTGGACACGTCACCGAGAGGCCTCTCCTTCCGCCCACAGCAGCGAGGGCATCACTGGCCAACTTTTACAGAAGCTTCTGCCCGCGCTGCTCCGCACGCCCACCAGGCCCCACTCCTCTGAGCTGGGGGATTCTGCTCTTGGAGTCGCCCCGGCTGTGATGGAGGGACCCTGCCCACCCTGGCGCTGGGCCGTGGAGGCCACACGGCAGCTGGGAGGAGGGCTGGACGCCTTTGTGGATGGTGGGCGGGTGGCCTTGGGATGCCCTGGCTTTTACGGAAAACTGGGTTTGGATACCTGGGGCTGAGGATGCAGTGAAGTTCCATGATGGAGTTCTTTGACAGGCACATTCCTTTTGCATAAAATAAAGTCTTTAACCTCAGCCTGTCTTCTCTGGCAGCAGTGGCCTAGCGACCCAGACACACAGGGCACTAAGCGCCATCCCCAGCTCCTCGCTGGGCTTGAGGGGCAGGGCAGGGAGCTGTGAAGAAGAAATTCCACCACAAGGCAGCCCCGTCAGGCGCGGGAGCCCAGGTGGCCATGGGGCCCAAGTCCCATTGACTCCTGACTCGGGCCGCCAGCCCCCGGTGGCTCCCGAGCACTGAGGTGTGGCTGCTGTGCTGAGGAGCCGCAGCTGAAATCTACTTGCACCAAAGGCCTCTGGAAGACAGCGGCCACCACGTGGAACGGCACAGCGAGGAAGAGGCGAACACCCCTCACCCAGCTCAGAGGCCCCAGTCGGGTTTATCCCAGAGGGCTGGGGCCGGCTCAGCAGAGACACAACTATTCATTTGAGGAATTAGATGGAATTCACACCCAGTCATGGTAAAAGCTGCTGGGCCTCCATTCCTGATACAGAACAGCTCACCCCAAACTTCAGTCCCCCACCCACGCTTAGATAAGACCCACTGTGGCAGTCAGGGCGCTTTGCCCCTGCACACGCTTCCTAAGAGTGAGCGGGGTGGAGCGGGGGGGAAGCAGCCAGCAAACTACCAATGTGTTTTGCAAACAGAGATAATGGGCCCGGGGGGGGGGGGGGCACACCCTCTCGGTTACACGTGGCCTGTGGCCACTTCTGCCCTGTAGAGTTGAGCAACTGTAGCAGGGCCACCTGGCCAGCAAAGCCAACATATTGACCGTCTTGCCCTTTACAGCAAAACTTTGCTGACCCCATCTATGTTTTTAAAAAAAATGCTCAGAAGAATGAGCAAATCTATTAACATTTCAGAGTGCTCAGCAGGACAGGTAACGGCAAGAAAGCGCCCCACTGTCAGGGGCCAAAGCATCTCTAAGGAGCCTGGCGGATCATGCCACACAACTTCACAGGTTGCACCGCCTTCAGACAAGCCTGGCCCAGGCTCACAACATGTCCTGGTGGCCGGAGTGGGGGACTGGGGGTGCTGTGTGAAAGCCAGCCCCTGCCTCCAGGCCCGGGGGGGCCCACTTCCTGAAGCCCCGAGGCCCAATCTCAGGGACTCAGAACAGGCTGTGCGTGGTGGCGCAGGCAGGCAGAACCGGTGCCCCAGCAACAAGCAGGGGACCCCAAAGGGGAGCTGGTGCCACTGGATGGAGGGCGTAAGGGGCATCCACACCTCGCACCTGAGACCCCGCACCCGGGGACAGGTCTGTGCCCAGCCGGGAGAACAAGCACCCTAACCAGGAGCAGAAAGAATTAATACTCAAGAACAGCCAAGACAATTTTTTAAAACTGTAAATTATACATATTTACCATTTTTGCCACTTTAAACCGCACAGTTCAGTGGCACTAAGCAACTTCACAGGCACTAAGCAACTTCACATTGTCGTGCAACCATCTTCACCATCACCTCCAGAACTTTCTCATCTTCTCAAAGGGAGACTCTGTCCCCGTGCAACCTGACTCCCCATCCCCTCCCCCCCACCTGCTTCCTGTCTCTGTGGACCTGATTCCTCTAGGGACCCCTGTGAGTGGAATCAGACAGGATTCATCCGTCCGTGTCTGGCTCCTTTTGGCCAACATCGTTTTGGAAAACGATATATGTCTATCTGGGGGAAAGGGAGACCTGTTCTCCTATCAGATGTACTATAAAACTAAGATTTTAAAACCTAAATTCATCAATGGAAAAGAAGAGGATCTCAACACAGACCCACATGAACCCACATGCTACGAGAGTGGCAACTCAAGGCAGTGAGGAGAGCACCTTTGGTTCTTCACCAAACAGCGTCAAGACCGCTGTCTGGGGGAGAGTGACAGCCCCAAGTCATATGATGCCCAGAAGTAAATCCCAGGATTCGAGTCTTATGTATAAAGGCTACAAGGGGCTAGCTAAGAAATACAAAAGGTGGGAAAACATTTTTGTAAAGCGTATATCTAATAAGGGACCTGAGCCTAGAATATATAAAGAACCCCTAAAACTCAGCAGAGACAACCCAGTTAAACAAGGGGCAAAGGACCTGTGCACAGACACGTCTCCGAGATGACCGGCGGGTGGCCGGCGAGCCGGGGAAAGGTGCTCACCACCCTCAGCACCAGGCAAGTGAATCTGAACCACAGCGACTCACCCCCGGCCACGATTTGGTGAGGAGGTGGAGACGCGAACAGGAACCGGGGCAGCCGCGGCGGAGACAGCCTGTCTCTCCAAAGGAAACAAGAGCTTCTGCAGGACCCAGCAATTCTACTCCGAGGCACACCCACAGCCAGAGAAATAAACACAACCACACCACCTCGTACCTGGACGCCTACAGCAACATGACGCACAGTCGCCAACAAATGGAAACAGTCCATCAACTGAAGAATGAACACGTGTCCCTCCACACACAAGAGCATCACTCGGCCGTGAAAAGGGGTGAAGCCCCGACACTCCTACAACGTGGACAAACCGTGAGAACACGATGCTCCATAAGAGAAGCCAGACACAGAAGGACCCACGGTGTGTGATTCCACTGATGGGAAACGTCCAGAACAGGCAGATCCACAGACACAGATTCGTGGCTGTCAGGGGCTGGGGGCAGGGGGGGGGACTGCTGACAGGGACAGGCTTTCTTTTTAGAAGGGTGGAATGTTCCAAAATTGACTGTGGTGACGGGTGCCCGATTGTGCATATACTAAGAATCATGGAACCATACACTTTAAATGGGTGAACTGTATGGTATATAAATCGTACTTCAATGAAGCTATTAAACAAAAACACAGACAACTGCACTTAGCCTGGGTAGGAGGCCTCTGAAATTAGTAGAGGGAAAAGGGGGTAGTTTGATCCCAAACTTCTATGCAAGAAAAGCACCAAGCAGCAGCAAAGCTGAAGGCGGCACTGGAGCCCCTCCCTCACAGCTCCACCAGGGGGAAGTGGGCCGAGACCCTGCTGAGGGGACAGAAGCCCGCGCAAGGCTGCTCACAGCAAACCGGGTAGACATTCCGCCTTGGTCTTTCAGACAAGTGAACTTATTTACTCAAGATATTTTTAATTCGTTAAGATATCCAGCATTCCGTAGCAATCGGTCTCACTCCCCGCTGCCCTCGGAGCACCCAGACAAGCAGCATCAGGGCCACTGTGTGGGGGACACGGCGACAGAAGCCCGGGCGGTATCCTGTCCCCTCCCAAAGCACCATCAGGTGGGATCCAGGGTGGGGCTCAGCGTCCAGGAGCCCAGGAGAGGCCACGGGGACCCTCAGGCCAGGAAAGGCAGGCCCAAGGCGGGCCGCCCTGCGGCCCAGGGGAGCAGAGGCAAGGTTCCCAGGAGGAGCGGACTCCCCCGGGCAGCCAGCCACCACAATCCCAGCCTGGTGGGTCGTCACAGCCCATCTTTCCATCCCCCGGGGGACTTGCCAAGAGAGAGGGGGCAGCCAGCAGTGTGACCTGTCTGTCGCATGAGCTGGGCGCACAGGCTGGATGTGAGCTCCCTCCAGAGCACGTAACAGGCGGGGCTCACTCACAGGGCTGGGACGGCCGCCCACACCCGGCCCTCGGCGCCCTCTCGCCTCGTCTGTCTGTCGGGCCGCTACTGCACCAGCCGGTAGGTGATGTACCTGCCTGCAGTCTCGCTGGGCCGGATGATCTTCACCACCTGCAGAGGCAGGAAAGCAGGTGGGCTGGCTCCCGGGACCCGGGGTCTCTCCTGCCCTGCTCAGAAGCCTGGGCTCTGAAGGGGGCTGGAGGTGGGCCCAGCTCCTCCCTGGGAGGGGCTTCTCACCTGCCCTCGCTTTATCCCAAAGTAACGTGCCACGGGGTCTCCCGCCTGGATCCTGGGCAGCTGGTTCTCTCGGAGTTTACTGAGAAGCAGGTCAGGGAAAAGGTCTTGCTGGACTGACTGGGGGCGTTGTGGGAAGAGCTGTAGGGGAGAGGAGCCGGGCCCGGCCGGGGGCCAGAAAGGATACTACCGGGCCAGCAACTCCGTCACCTCCTCCTTGGTCATGACAACGTGCTCTGGGACCAGCTGTGAGAAGAGAACCTGGGTCTCCGCAGGGCTGCCACAGACCCCACAGGCCCTCCAGAGGAGGGGTGCAGCGTGGGGGCCCCAGGCATCTGCACAAGTCCTGACTCCACACTGGGACGGGGGTCCTAGAGCCTACACCCCTAGACATGCAGATGGGCCGCAGGGCACAATCCCGGAGCTCCGAGGCTCCTGGGGACATGCAGATTCCACCCACCCCAAGCTCCTGACTCTGCAGGCTGGGTGGGCCTGGGAACCTGCCCTCCTAGCAAGGCCCCAGCTGCTCCTGGCCCAAGGGCCACACACTGAGACCCCGGCCCACCTTTTTTCCACCATGAAGGGGCTCCCGGACTCGCCTCCCCAAGACCTGGATGTCCGCCAACCCCGAACAGGTGAGGGGCCTGGGGGGCAGGAGGCGGGTCTCCAGTCTCATCCTCCACCCCTACCTCATGCTCCGTGATGTTGATGAGCAGCTCCTGCTGCAGAAACTGCTCCAGGATGTACTTGGGGGCCATGTCGACCAGGGACTGGAAGAGACACCGACCCTCAGGCACAGCTGAGGCGGCCACCCGCCCCCTGCGTTGGCCCCGGGCCCACCCACCACGCCCTTCCTCGCAGGCACCTGGCACCCGGGAAGCTGCGCGGGTCCTGTGTCACACATCAGAAAAACCCACCTCAGTGGGTAGGGTTTCCACTTGGGGAGAGGCCCACCCTGCCCCTCCCAGGCATTCAGCACATTACCGAGGCCTCGGTCTCATTGCAAAAAGGGTGAGGGCCCGTCTGTCAAAATGCTCCCACGGTTGCCGGGAGCTGGTGCAGCAACCCCTCCCTGGACCCCACAGCCTGTGTCCCCTTGTTCACACGGGGACAAAGGTGCTCGCCAGCTGCCCATCCCAACCACCAGCCTCCACTTAGGCCAGTCCAACCCACAGCCGGGGACCAGAGTCAGCGGGCACCCACCTGCTTGGCGGAGGGTGTCATGCCCTGCTGTACCACAATGAGGGCCCGTGTGATGTTCTCCTCCTGCATCCGCTGGCAGTACACCTTGATGGTCTTGATGCCCACCTTGGGCTCCTCTGCAGACCAAGTACAGGCTGGTGGACGCTGGCCGCCCCCCCCCGGCCCTCTGCACGGCACCTGGGTTCTAGCCCACCCCTGCCAAGGCGCTGCAGTGCCGCTCCCCCACTGGGGCCTCGGCCTCCTGTTTGCAGAGTGAGAATCCGGCTGCCAGTCCCAGAACGGGGTGCTGGCTGCCTGCATGTCACGTGGGAGCTGAAAGGTGCCCTGGGCCCCGGACCTAAGGGACCTCTTTCTGGAAGTGGGGTCTGGGAGTCTGGGTCTGCGCAGTGCCTCAGCGGTTCTGAGGTTCGGGAAGTCCCAGACTAAGCAGTTTGTTTAGTCCAGGGGCCCACGAGACAAGGGCTGGAGTGTTCAGAGTTGAGTGGAGGCAAGATGACCCGGGGAGCACGGTCCCAGCACAGCGACAGCCCACCCAGCTCCTCGCTGCCAGCACCGGGGGTCCTCACGGTCTCGGCAGCACGCGGGGCCTGGGGCCTGACACGAGAGAACGCTGGACCCTAGTAGCCCAGCAGGTTGGCGGCTGGGGCAGCCCCGGAGTCCGCGTGCAGCACGTCCGCTGCCTCTCGCCATTCTCCTCACACCCCACTCCACCGACCGGCAGTGCCCTGTCCCCGAAGTCCCTCTGTTGGAGTCCTGACCCCCAGGAACCTCAGAATGAGACTGTGTTTGGAAATGGGGTCTTTAAAAAAGTAATTACACAAGGTTGTGAGGCTGGGGTCCTTAAGAGATCAGGACACAGACACACAGGAAGGGACGAGCACGTGAGGACACAGGGAGAAGACAGAGGTCTACACACCAGTGAAGAGGCCCCCAGCACTGGGAGAGAAGCACTGTCTGTTTATGCCCCTGGTCTGTGGGGTTTTGTTATAGCAGCCGTGCAAACTAACACAGGCAGGGACCTCAACCCTGTGCCACGGCCCATCTGAGACAGCAGGACACCCCCACTGTCAGTAAAGACCAGGAAGTGAGGTGGCCCCACCCCCGAGATGGCACCACGGGAGGCACGTGCTTAGGCACCAAAGTCTACAATAAATACGTTTCACACACAAGGGACACTCTTCTTAAAAGTGCCACCTAGATTCATCCCAGGGTCACAAGGATGCTTCAATATATGCAAATCAATGTGATACACCACATCAACGAAAGGAAAGACAAAAACCACACGACTGTCTCAACAGATGCAGAAAAAGCATTTGATAAAATTCAGCATCCATTCATGATAAAAATTCTTATGAAAGTGGGTATAGAGGGAATATATCTCAACATAAAAAAAGCAATTCATGGATCCGCAGCTAAAACCCAGCACAAATTACCCATGACATTTTTCACAGAACTAGAACAAATACTCTTAAAATTTACATGGAACCATAGAAGACCCAGAATTGCCAAAGCAATCCTCAGGAAAAAGAAAAAAGCAGGAGGCATAACTCACCCAAACTTACAATAATACTACAAAGCTACAGTTTTCAAAACAGCATGGTATTGACACATAAACAGACATGGATCAATGGAACAGAATAGAGAACCCAGAAATAAACCCACACAGCTACGGTCAATTAATCTTCGACAAAGGAAGCAAGAATGTACACTGGGGAAAAGACAGTCTCTTCAGCAAGTGGTGTTGGGAAAGCTGGACAGCCACATGTAAATCCATGAAGTTAGACACTCCCTCACATCATATACAAAAATAAACTCAAAATGGCTCAAAGATTTAAATGCAAAACATGAGGGGACTTCCCTGGTGGTCCAGTGGTTAAGAATCTACCTTCCAATGCAGAGAACGTGGGTTTGATCCCCAGTCAGGGGAGTAAGATCCCACATGCCGTGGGGCAACTAAACCCGTGCGCCACAACAGAGGCCTCACGCACCTTAGCTAGAGAGCCTGCGTGCCGCAAACCACAGTGCCACAGAGCACTCTGTAGCCTACATGCCACAACTACAGAGCCCACGTGCCCTGGACCCTGCATGTCATAACTACAGAAAAGAAAACCCGCATGCCACAACTAGAGAGAAGCCCACGTGCCGCACTGAAGAGCCTGTGCACTGCAACGGAAGATCCCGCATGCCTCAATGAAGATCCCACATGCTACAACTAAGACCCGACGCAGCCATAAATAAATAAATAAACAAACAAATCTTAAAAACAAACAAACAAAAAAAACCAACTAAAAACAGTGTTGCCATATGACCCAACAAGCCCACTCCTGGGCATATATCCAGACAAAACTATAATTCAAAAAGATACATGCACCCCAGTGTTCACAACAGCACCATTCACCATTGCCGAGACACGCAAACAACCTAAATGTCCAGATGAATGGATAAAGAAGATGTGGTACATATATACCATGGAATACTACTCAGCCATCAAAAAGAATGAAATACTGCCATTTGCAGCAACATGGATGGACCTAGAGATTACCAAACTATGCCAAGTAAGTCAGAAAAAGAAAGACAAATATCATATATCACTTATATGTGGAATCTAAAAAGATGATACAAATGAGCTTATTTACAAAACAGAAAGAGACTCCCAGACATAGAGAACAGATGTGTGGATGCCAACGGGGAGGGGGCTGGGGGAGGGATGGATTGGGAGTTTGGGGTTAGCAAATACAAACTATTATTTGTAAGATGGATAAACAAGGTCCTACTATACAGCATAGAGAACTATATTCAGTATCCTGGGATTACACCATAGTAAAATAGAATATGAAAAAGAACATATATATATGTATGTATATATATTTATAACTCAGTCACTTTGCTGTACGGCAGAAATTAACACAACATTGTAAATCAACTGTACCTCAATAAAATGAATTTTTTTAAAAAGTGCCACCTGGGTCTGTTGAACGAGCATTTTCTGCCCACCCCTCTGATTCACGGCGCTGGGGTAGGCCCCCAAGGTGCTCATGACCCAACAAGGCCCCCTAACCTTTGGGCCTCTAGAGCCAGGCTGCCTCAGTGTAGGACGTGCAAAGACAGAGGAACACAGGGGTCCTGGGACACCCTTGGTGCTGGGGGGGTTGTCTTCACTCAACCCAGGGCTCAGAGGGGGTTCCCAAAGAGGAGGCACTTGAGCTCGGTCACCAGGGACGATGGATGGACACTGACCAGGCAGGCGAGGGGGGAACCGGCAGGGACGAGACAGGGCAGGAGTCCTGCAGCAGCGCAGGAAGGGCAAGCGCTGGGAGCAGAAGCTGGGCTGACGGGTGAGGGCAGGGAGGACCCAGGGGCCCAGCTGGGAGGCCTGTGATAACCTTGGTCAGAGAAAAGGGTTGAGGAAGAGAGAATGGGGAAGGTGACCAAGAAGAGGAAGCTGGAAAAGGAGTCCCCACAGCAAGGAGGGCAAGGGGGCAGAAGGATGAGAGCAGGCAGACTCTGGGTCACAAGGCAGGTGGCTGCTAAGAGCTGGCCCTGAGCTGCCCCTCACCTGGGAAGAAGACGAACATCTGGTCAGTGGGGTCATCGTTGTGGGCCACCAGCACCGTGAGGTCTGTGCGCCGAGGCCTCCCTTCACTGGGCTTGTCCCCAAACTGGGCCTTGAACTCCTCCAGCGTCTGGTCCAGCTCGTCCTGGGTCACCAGGTAGCCACGATCGTGGCACAGCTGCAAAGAGAAAGGACCAGATGACCCCAGGGCGGAGGGGGGACGGCAGCAAGAGCTCGGGGTAGGCGAAGCCACTGCGGAGGAAGACCGGGACAGAGCTGGGACGTGAGGAGGGCTGTTGAATGCAGAGCCAGGCCCCAGGGTCTGGGGCAGACAGGGACGGCTGGCTGGGCAGACGGTGGTTGGAAACCCAGGCAAAGACCTGAGGGTCAGCAGTTCTAGGTCCTGCCTCAGAAACTGGGGCTCTGAGTGCGTGCACTAGATGAGGACCCAGACAAAGAAAGGAAGGTTGGAATCGCTACCCAGCCCAGCCCTGCCCGCACCCACTTTCCTCGGCCAAGTCTCCCTCCAGAGCCCTGGGTCTCCTCTCCCAGGGACCCCTGATACTGTCAGCCAGAAGCACAGTTGCTCCGGCCCTGTCTTTGGGCAGCTTTGCAAAGTGGCAGAGAGGCTGGGGGCCACCACCCGGCCTTAGCCCAGCAGGATTCCCAGGAGAGTGGGTGCTCTTGATCAAGGCCGCAAGCCTCCGTGGCATCACACTGGTCCCCTCCCACGGGGTGGATTAAAGAACGAGGCACACAGAGAACGCTGGTATGACCCGGCCCCGGCCCGAGTAATTCAAAGTTGGTGGCTGGGACATCTAAGTAGCCACCAGACAGCGGTCAGACAAGCCCACCAGGGTTCCTTCCACCCCCACGACCCCGGGATTCTGCGATATGCACTTGAGGTGGTGCCGATAAGGCAGTCTGGGACCTGGGACCTTTTGCTGTAGCCCTTGCACCTGGGCAAATGTCTCCTCCAGCAACAAAACACCCAGAAACTATATCTAAGGGACTAGAAATAACTAGGCACATGCGCAGTTCGGGCAAACAAGGACCAAGATATAAAAAGGCCGAGAAACAACAACAAAAAAACCCATAAGGGCTTCCCCTGGTGGCGCAGTGGTTGAGAGTCCGTCTGCCGATGCAGGAGACACGGGTTCGTGCTCCGGTCCGGGAAGATCCCACATGCCGCGGAGCGTCTGGGCCCGTGAGCCATGGCCGCTGAGCCTGAGCGTCCGGAGGGAGAGGCCCCAGCAGTGAGAGGCCCACGTACCGCAAAACAAAAAAACAAACAAACAAACAAAAGGCCAAGAACCTAACTGCCACTTCTGAGGAGCCAGGAGCAAAAGCAGGGTACTGGGCATGATCCCTGCACACAGCACCACCAAGGGGGTGGGCAGACCCCTCCAAGCCACCCCTCCGGCCTGACCCCTGGACCCGTCCCCACCCTCACCCCATTTAAGACACCAACTCGTCCTCCTTGGAGCAACGGCACCTGTTGCTTGTTTTCGCTACTTCACGCTGCAGCACAAACTCCAATAAAGCCTGGCTTAAATTTCTCGTCTGGCCTGCTATCAATTTCTACTGATTAACGAATTCAAGAACCCCGGCAGGTAACATCAGAACCTTCCATGGACACAAACACGCGCCGGCCTAGCGTCTGCCGTCCTCCCTCTCTCCAGCTCGAGCGAGACCCTGACCCCCTCCCGGGGGGCTCTTGGACTCGCGACTCCGTCCCCCGCAAACCCCCGCCCCGGGGGCCCAGCCTGAGCCCGACCCCTCCGCTCCAGCCGCGCGGCCGGGGGTGGGGAGGCTCATTTCTACCTCCGGGCCTCGCACCCGCCGTCCGCGCTCCGGCTGCTGCGTGCCCGTCTCGCCTGGGGGAGCGAGGCTCGTTCTCACCGCGTTCCCCAAGCGCGCTGCTCACCTGCATGATGGTCTTGCGGATTTTCCACAGCCGGTACGTCTCCTCCTCGTCGTCCATGGCTGCCGCCGCTTGCACTCACTGCGCCTGCGCTGAGCCCCGGTCAGGCCCCCTCACGTCGCCCTCCCCTTGCAGGGCTGTCGCCGGCGAATGCCTGAATGAAGCGACCTTCGGGAGCGGCAGCGCCAAAGGCAGCCCGAGCCTTACTAAAGCGACGGTTGGCTGCGCGAGAAGCGTGCGACCAGCACCGCCACCGGCGCCTCGGAAGTTCTCGCGAGGCTTTGACCGCAAGGCCCCTCGGGAGTTGTAGTTTCCGCTCAATGGTGGTGTGGGAGGGCCGTTCAGAATCCAGAGAACAGAGGCGAAGTGTGGGCGGGGAAACTGAGGCCTTGACTGGGTCAGGGGTCTGCTCAGCTCCCGGGGACCGTCGGGCGGCCTAAGAGGCGCTCCATGAGTGTTTGTGCGTCCAATTGTGGGGGGTTTTCTCAGTTGGCTCAGGGCTACGTACAACTTAATGCCCCCGAGCCTCAGTTTCCCCTCTGTACAATGGAAATAAAGTGTCCCCATTTTAGAGGGTTAGCTGGGGATCTAAGGAGATGGTCGTACTTGGGAGGAGCTTGGAATAGTTCCTGGTGCTTATGAAATGCTTCCACCTCTGTCTTCCCCCTCTCCTGTCCCGTGAGCCCCAGCCCAGCCCCTGCCTGGATACCCCACAGCCCCCAAGACTGCATGTTTTTACAGTCCGCATCTGCCCCTGCCCCCGAGTTCGTACAGGAGGTTTGCCCACGCTTGCCAAGCCCAGTGCCTCTGCATTGGTAACTTCTCATTCAGTAATGCATTCATTCAATGATTCAATGTTTAATGAGCAACCACAGCGACAGTGAACAAAACAGGCCAAGCACCCTTACATGCCAGGGAGAGACAGGACAGAAACAGTGAATATAATAAGTAAATGATAAAGTATGTTAGAAGGTGACAATGCTGTGGAAGAAGAAATATACCAGGCTGAGGGAGACGGGAGGTTTGCAGTCCCAAATGTGGTCAGGGAAGGGAATTCCCTGGTGGTCCAGTAGTTAGGACTCCGTGCTTTCAGTGCCGAGGGCCCAGGTTTAATCCCTGGTGGGGGAAACTAAGATCCCACAAGCCGCTCGGCCAGAAAAAAACAAGAAAAACAAGAAAAAAAAATTCAGTAGTTGTGGCATGCAGGCTCAGTAGTTGTGGCGCACGGGCTTAGTTACTCCGTGGCATGTGGGATCTTCCCAGACCAGGGCTCGAACCCGTGTCCCCTTCACTGGCGGGATTCTTAACCACTGCGCCACCAGGGAAGCCCAGTGGCCTGATTTCTGAACCTTGGGCTCTGCCAGTTGGGCTGCATGGTGGCGAGGTTCCAAGGAGAAAGTTAACACTCCATGTGCTGTTGCTGAGGTCACACGGTCACAGGCAGGATTCTGAGTCATGGGCCTTGGGGTTGGGCCCGCCTGCTACTGTGAGCCCTTTCTCCTCTCTCTTCCCTGCCCCCAAGAACAGCAAGGGTACCTAATGTCCCCTGTCACTCGCACCTGGGCCCTCCGCCCTTACCATCTAGGCCACCCTCTGGATCCTCCAGCAGTTCTGCCCCCTCCCCCACCCAGATTTGCCCATCACCTAGGCAGACACCCTTTGTCCTGTCTTAAACCCACTCTGGACCCTCTCCCTGTTCCCCTGCTACATCCACATCTCCAATATCTTTCCTCTCATAAATGCCTCCCCCAGCTGGGCCCCATCCTTGGATCTGCCCTCTGCGGTCACAAACAGTGTCCCCTTGGCCAATCCCCTGCTCAATCCTCAGATCTGCTTTGACGGCTCCTCTGTCCCTCCTCCTTCCAACAGCTGCTTCACTGGGCTCCTGGACACCTGGCTTCCACCCACCCTCTCTTTTTTTTTAATGTTTATTTACTTATTTATATTTGGTTGCGTTGGGTCTTGTTGCTGTGCCTGGGCTTTCTCTAGTTGCGGCGAGCGGGGGCTACTCTTGTTGCATTGCGTGGGCTTCTCATCGTGGTGGCTTCTCTTGCTGCGGAGCATGGGCTCTAGACGCACGGGCTTCAGTATTTGTGGCTCACGGGCTCTAGAGCTCAGGCTCAGCAGATGGGGTGCACGGGCTTAGTTGCTCGAACCTGTGTCCCTGTGTTGGCAGGCAGATTCTTAACCACTGCACTGCCAGGGAAGTCCCTCTATTCTATTTAAGAAGCACTTAAGTATTGCCAGCGCTGCAATCATCAGCCACGTACCTATGCAGTGGGCGCTGTTCTTGTCCCTGTTCTACAAGTTGGGGGGGGACATCGAGGCACAGAGAGGTTAAGTAATGTGCCCGGGTCACACAGTCAGGACTGGAGCCCAGGTGGCCACACCCCTCTACCTTCTGCTCTTTCCTCCCCTTCTCCCGGCCTCTGAACAAGGTAGGCAAGCCTCGCGCCTAGCCTCCGATCTGCTCAGTGATCTCATCCAGGCTCCCAGCTCCTGGCTCCACTGTACACCCACAACACCCACGTCTGTCTCCACTCCAAGCTCATCCCGAGTTCCAGACTTGTATCCCACTGCCCCCTGGATGTCTCCCCTTAGGGTCCCCTGGGAACCCCAAGCTGACCACGTCCAAGACCCCCTCCCGAGCCGCCCCACACCTTCCCACCCCAGTCGCTCTCCCTCCTCTGCCCGCCTCTGCGTCTCTCATCTCCACGTCCTGTCCACCTGCAGATCCTGTGGGCACTGCCCTCCGGACACCCTGGACCTGCCCGCTGCTCACCCTTCCCTTGGAGCCATACCTATCTCTGGCCAGAACGGTCTTCCTCAGCCCCCTCCCTGGTCTCCCTGCTTCTGCCCCGCGGAGATGCTGAAAATGGCTGCAAACCTGAACTTTTCCACCCAACCAGCAAGGCCTCCCAGGATCTGCCCCACCTGACCTCTGACCTCTTCTCCCACCCCTCCCCCCCCACCGGCCTCCTTGCTGCCAACACAACCAGGCAAGGTCCAGCTTCAGGGCCTTTGCACACACTGCACCCCTGCCTGATACACTTTCCTCCAGACATCCCCACGGCTCCTACCCTCTCACCCTTTGGGTTTTTGCTGGAAACTTCCTTGACCACATTCAGTGCCCGGCTTGGGCACAGTGCCCGGCTCGGGCACTACTAGAGCCCGTGCTCCGCAACAAGAGAAGCCACTGCACTGAGAAGCCCACACACCGCAACGAAGAGTAGCCCCCGCTCGCCACAACTAGAGAAAACCCGCGCACACCAACCAGGACCCAATGCAGCCATAAATAAATAAATAAAATAAATAACATTAAAAAAAAAAGTTATATATGTATAACTGAATCACTTTGCTGTACAGCAGAAATTAACACAACTTTGTAAATCAACTATACTTCAATAAAATAAATGTTTAAACAAAAAAGAAATCAGAAAAAAAAAAATCAGGCCACTACCCTCACACTCCTGAGTGGGGATGTGAGATGGACCAGTGGCTGTGGGAAAGTCTGGCAGATCCTCAGATAGTTACACAGAGTTACCATGTGACCCGGAAGTTCCACTCTGAGGTGCATACCCAGCAGAAATGAACACATATGCCCACACAAAAACTTGTACAGCGTTACAAAGCCAAAAGGTGGAACAACCCATCAATGGACAAATGGATAAACGCAATATGGTCCATTCATATAATAGGATATTACTCCGCATGAAAAGGAGAGAAGCACTGACTCACACTACAACGTGGATGAACCCTGAAGACGTGATGTTCAGTGAGAGACACCAGACGCAAGAGGCCACACAGTACATGATGTGAAACGTCTAGAACAGGCAAATCCACAAAGAGTGGATTCATGGTTGTCAGGGGCTGGGGGAGGGGGCTGGAGGAGACTGGTAATGGGGACAGGGGGTTACTTTTTGGGGTGCTGAATGATATAAGCCAGTCACAGAAAGTGAAGTACTGTCTGATTCCACTCATATGAGGTCCCTAGAGAAGTTTTCATAGAGACAGGAAGTAGACGGTGGGGGCCAGGGGCTGGGGGGTTGACTACAAATGCAGACGGGGTTTCTTTCTGGGGTGATGAGAATGTTCCAGAATTAGATAGTGGTGATGGTTCCACAATGTTGTGAATATACTAGAAATGACTTAATTGTACACTTTGGTTAAAATGGTGAATTTATGTTATGTGGATTTCAACTCAATTAAAAACATTTTTTTTTCTAAGAAGAAATCAGGCGCTGGTTCCGGAAAGGCCTCTGGTTGGTAAGCAACTCAGCGTCCCCACTGGGGGACACAGGCACTTTGGTCACCACAGGGGAGCCTCGCTGGAGCCTTGAGACTTCCCCAGGATTCCACTGCTCCTCTGTAAAGTGGGGAAAGTGTGGAAAAGCGGTGAAACCCAGGCACAAACCTCAGAGCAAGTGGGACCACAGTGGGCAGCTCATCCTGCCCAGTTCTGCTCTTATTTTAACTGGCCTGAAGTCAGGAATGGGCTGAGGCCTTGCTCCATCTCTCCCCCTCGGTGGGCTCCAAGGGGAGGGAAGGTCGCCCTGAGCTGTTTTTCTGGAAACCCTCAAGTAAATAGCAAGCCGGTGGCCATCTTCACGACAAAGTTTCAGATACCAGCTGAAGGGAAACTGGGAACAGCTGAGGCTTCCCAAGGGCCACTCAGACTCACCAGGGTGGCCTGACACCCAGTGCTGCCGGGGGCGGAAGTGAGGAGGGGGTTTCCTGAGAAGTGAGGCACCCAGTTGAGATAATGGGAGCTCCCAGCCAAGAAACGACTTCAGAAGTTGCCGGCCCCTCGTGACCAGGCTGAGAGGGAGAAGCACGTGAAGGCTATTGGGCAAGGAAGGAATGTAGCAACCTGGTCCCGGGGATCCTGTCCCCTTTGCCACCAAACTCGGCCGTCTAAGCCCTGGGTTGGCCTGGGTTGGGGCAGAGGGAGGGGGCTCGTTTTCTCCCCCAAAGGACCCCAGCCCCGAAAGTCCTGCCCCCAAAGCCTCTGCAGAAACGTTCACCGGGAGGGTCCAAGAAGGAGAGAGAGAAGTTCACGGGCAGCACAACACCCTCCTGGCCGCAGGTCAACGTCCAGCTACGACTGGGGGTGGGGGCAGCCAGGCCAGTGTGGAATTCTGTGACTCAGGTCCCGAGAATGGGGTGGGTTTGGGCAGTGGCCAAACGCCTGAGCCTCGAGTGGAAATGAGCTTGGAACCAAGCCAGCGGGAGCCCCATCCCGAACCGCACGCTGTGTCACGTTGCAAATGACAACAGATCCCTCTGGGCTGGCGCTTTCCTTGCTAAGCACACACCTGCGCGTCCTCCAGGAGAAAGGGGGGCGGGACCACAGGGTAAATTGCTAACGGCCCTCCCCAGGGCTCACGTGTCACTTATACAAGCAGCTAAGGCGGCGGTGTCCAAGGGCGGCGACACTCGGCTCTGTGCTGACGGCGCACCCTGCAGCAGGGACGCCGCCGTCCGGGGCTGTCGCCTTAGGTGACCCCCAGGCCCTCGCAGCGACACCGCAGCCCGAGTGGGG